GAATAGGAACATGTAGAAAAGAGAGCGAGCATGGAATACTTTAGTAGCAGCACCCCAGGAAAGCTACTTGTTCTACAAAAGGATTCTGCAGCTCTGGCAAGTTCTGGCTCAGTGTTGGTTCCTGGCCGTGTTATGTAGCCAGTTTTGTGGCCAGTTATGTTTAGCATAGCTGGTCCAACTTTTGACTTTCTGTGAAATTGCCAGTGTTTTCAATTGGCAAATAGGTATTTTCCAGCAAATCTGACACTGACTTTTCTACCTTGAAGCCCTTTTTGGCTGTGATCTTTCATAAACTTAGTTTTAGGATAGCATATACTTGAGCTTGCAGGATGAGGATGTTCATTGTTTTGGCAGCTGTAGAATGCATTTGGCACCAAGTAATATGCAGTTGGTTTTGAGATTGTCCTCACCTACAGTAAGAAAGAATTGAATTTTAATAAATTCATTAAGTTTATACTCTCTTATAAGTGTTTGTCTATTAACAGTAGGTGGAAGTTATTAGTACATAGCTACATAGTTGAATCAGGTTCTTTTTGACAGTGAAAAGAAGGCTGTTCCTGAATTTAGATTTCAGTCCGAAACTGCAAAAAAAAAAAATCTTGGGGATTGTCTAGCTCTGTGTTGATACTTTAGCTGTAGATAATTCAGCGTATGCAGAATTTCTAGTTTTAGATTTTGGATGCTTTATAATAGTATTTCAAGTTTAACAGCAAAGACATGCAAAAAGATATAATTTAGAAAGTTGAGCTTGATTAAAGTCAGAAGTCAGTGAGTCTGTTCATATTCACACTCTTGAAAGATGGAGGCAGCTAAGAGATGGGAGTGCATTTCTTCCTTCTTCCCACCCTGTGCTCCATCTTTGCGAGATTTATGAAGGTTGATGTTTAGATCATATATGTCTAAACCTACGGTACTTTATATATATGTGTGTGTGTGCGTGTGAATGTATTCTTTATATATAAAGTGCAGAGTTTCTGCAGTGAAAAATACAGTGTCTTATTTTTAGAAAATCTATGGCTACAAATTAATTTCCTTAGCAACTTTCCATCAAACAGCCTGCTCTTCCTTGTTCCCAACCAAAACAAACTTAAACTGGCTTATTAATTTAGGCAGTTTTCCCGTGAAAAATGGGTTCCAGGTCTCTGCCACAAGCGTTTGTAATCTGCCAGGTCACTGAAAAAAACCTCTGTGCGTAAAACTTGAAACGACATCTTTTAAAAAATATCGTAATTTTGCAGTGGTAAAGTTGGTGATATTTTTCCTCTGCAATTGTTATATTTCAATTTTACAGAGTAAGAATTTGAGTCTCTTGTCCTCTGTCATCTCTGTTTATTACTTTTATTTGATTATCTCTGTGAGTGCACAGCATAATAAACTGGTGTGCGTAATTACACTGAGCATAGCTATCTCAGGAGGAGTGGCAAAAGAGACAAAACTGGCAAGCAGCTTTAGGATTCAGGACAATGCAAAACAAAAATATTGCCTGTTTGAGCAAGTTTTTACACCTAAGCTTATTTTGACATAATGCTTCTCTAAAATATAGCCCTTTGTAGCACAGGATGGTGCCAGTTGTGCTATAATGTATATGGCTGAACATGAACAAATCCTGTACAAATAGGGCAGTGAAAAAAGTTGCTAAGTATCCTGCAGGAAGCAAGTATCAAGTTTATTGATAGTCGTGTTGACTGTAGCTATGGGCAGTTCATCCTAATCACTTCAGGCAAGAGCAGACAACTCAGAAATGAAATCTTTGCTCTCTGTTTTAAAAGGAAACAGGACTGACAAAACATGTGACTAATCTTCCCTTTTCCATCCGTTTCCATATACCTGTTAGAATAGATAATTGTTCTGGCTCTGATTTTCCAGTACGCTGAGATCCGCTGGGCTCTGCCCTTGGTGTAACACCGTGTATTTCATGTGCTCTGCTGACATTGATGATTCTATGACAAAAGTACAGCGGTGAATATAAACAGATCTATGTTAATTTTAAGGTCTGCTAGAAACGCATGACAAAGGAGTCGATTCTGAAGAGGAAAAGAACAGATATTGCAATGTCAGAAATTTTATTTTCAGGGTTTGAGGATGACACCCTTTGGATTTGTTTTTTCCAAATCAGAAGCTAATGATTGCATCTTGTCTTCCTTTGTTTCAAATGCTGCGCCTTCCAATCATTACAACAGCGTCCCTTTCACTGGAGTGACTACTACATAGCTGAAATGGCTCATAAGCGTTGTGTATACAACAAAATAGAGAATTGGGACTCAAAGCTTGATTGCTGCCTCTTCAGGCAATTTAAATAACACTTAAAGAGTTTCTGCTATATGGATCCTAGCAGTTTTAAGACTCAAGTGGAAAATCAGTACTTTCCTAGTAGGATGATACAAATTTGAGTTCACCTGTTTTCAGCCAAGAGAGAGTATTACAATCTATTCTGCCTAAAAATAAGCCGTAACACCTCCCTCAGTAACTTCCCCATCATGTCTGTGGCTTCCTTTTGAGCTACAACATCTCTTTCAGAAATGTGAAGTCTCGGTTTAAAAACTGTGGTGTTGAGGAATATTGCAAATCAAATATTGCAGTAGCTACTTAGTTTCACTTAGAAAATGTGTATTATTTTTTCTTTAGTCTGCATAAAATTAAATTGTTTTCTGCATAGTTGTAATTCTCTTAAATGGCTGTCTTGAAAATTGGACGTACTTGTTTGGGGGGAAAAAAAAAAAAGTCTCCAGAGCTATGTCTGTTTCTCTATTGAAGTTCTGCTATATATTTTGGTGAGTTGATTTAACATCTCACTAAGTCAGCAGTTCAGGGGCATTTTCATATTCCTGAGTTTCTTTTGTGCCTTTTGTCAGTGGGGATAGTTAAACACAGCCTTGATTCTGTTTTTTTTAAGATTCTGCTTTCAGTCTTTTTTATGATATATTCCTACAGTCATTTTCAAGTAATAAATAGAAATGCTATATAAAAACAGAGTATCACAGTTTGACATCTAAGTTATTTAAATTTCAGAAGTTCTTTAAAAACGTTTCATTTTCGCATTATTTGAAATTTACACCAGCTTTTCTTTGTTAGGTTGGATGTGTGAGATCTGCTTGTCTGCTCGAGCTCCTTCATGCGTTTCCAGGGTATTTCCACACAAATAGTCTTAATCAGGTTTTAGAGGGAGTCTGTTCTGTAACAGGAACTCCCAAGTGAGCCACAGCTTTTCAGTGAAAAGGAGGAGAAGCTTTGAAAAAATTATCAGGTCTTTGAATTGGGAAGAGAGGAATAATTCAGGAAAAGTTCCCGTCCCTTTTCAATGCAGGTTAACGTTTCTGATTTGGACTGAACATTGTATTGCAGGGGGATTCAGTAAATTACTATTAGCTATGTGCTCTCTTTCAGTATTTCCAGGCATTTGGGCCTGTGAAGTCCCTTGATGCAAATCCCCAGTGCTTCTTTTTTCTTGTATGTAGGCAGGGGGAGATTGGATTGATGGTAGTAAAAAGGGTGAGCATCTGAATCATGACGTGTGAGAGAAAGCACACTGCCTGCCTCTCCAATTATCATTTTTAAACTATGTGTTAATTTAGATAATAACTTGAGGTTCTTGATTTTTTATTTTTTCTTTTCTTCTGGAGTGCCTGGAACACACAGTAAGGATCAGCTTGTCATTCTTGTTTTAAGAACTGAAAGAATAAATGAGAAAAGCAGTCTCTTAAACAGCACTTGAAGTTTGTTCCCATTACTTACGTGTTACAGCTTTGTTTTAGGAAGTTGTAAGTGTTGGTTCCTGAATATGCTTGTAAATTGAGACAGTCAACCTGCTAAGGCGACGTTCTTTTCACGCTAGATGTCAGTGTTAACATACCTGTTCCGTAATCTCAGGTGTAGTCATTCTGTTGTCCTCGTGGATACACCTGTATTTAATACTTCAGTTACAACTTGTGGTTAAAATGTCAAGACATCAACTCCAAATAATGATTTGTATGTTGACCCTTAATGGGTGGCTGTCTGTAAATCTTTTTCCTGTGAAACTTCTATTCTTCTTGCCCTCTACTGCACCAGGTAAATCCAGGAGGACCAGGTTGGTCTTTGTTAAAATGTCTGCTAAAGTCTTTCCAATACCTGGATTTCTTTTTCATCTTAGTTTTGAATAAGATGGCCTTGAAAACCTGAAAGGTAGTAGTGAGTGATAACTGCATCACTCAAAATTAAATCTGCTGGGGACATCATAGTTGGTTTTTCATCCTCTCAAACTGTAAATAATGAGCTGATTAGCAGTAATTCATAAGATGTCTCATAAGGTCATTTGTCAATGTGTTAGTTGAGCATGTTGTGAGACTATTCAAAGGCATGTGGCTATTTGCTTTGTTTCTTTTGGCTTACAATAAATTTTTTAAAATCGCCTGTGTTTCATCTGGGGTTTTGTAGTGGTGACCGTAATGTAGATTTCCCGGTGGTTGAAACTGGTCTTGTATATCAGGAAGTACTGTTTTCTGCCTGCGGCTGTACCAGTGACCACAGCCTATCTTCCTGGATAAAAAGCCTCAGTAAAGGCATTGTGGTTAGTAATAATAAATAGTGTGACATGATGAGCAGTGGATTAAACACTGTTCTTATGTCTTTAGCTTCTGTAGAACCTATTATTCTGTTACTCTGTAAATTAACCATTGCTTATTTACCTTATTTTCAGTGTATTTTTCTTTCAGGATTTTAGCTGTCAGTAGGTTTGTTACACTGCGCTCTCTTCTTTTCTGTAACACCTTTAAGTGTGCAGAAGTACTTCCTTTGATCTCAAGAGAAGAGGAGCTGCCAAATCTTGTCTTTCAAAGCATTTGGTATTTTGGGGACCTTGAACCGAAAGGAGGCAGCAGTTGGGTTCGAGGCCCAAGCTTTTATTGGAATATAAGCACAAATGTTTTTCAGGCAACTTGTTGAAGTTTTATTGCAAGAGTAGACGTACCTCAAACATATTTATTGGTGCCATTTTTTCACAATGAGAAGTGGTATACTTCTAGGATAACACATTTAGTTCCTGTAAGTTGTCAGTGGCTGGAGAATCTCAGGCAGCGGTAGCGGGGCTGGGCGGGTTGACTCAGGCTCCGTTCCTGTAGCTAAGGAACTTGGTGGCCACAGAGACCAACTGAGTGCAGGTGGGAACATTGTAGAGATGCGCCCTGTTTGGAGTTTATGTGTGACTGTACCTACAAATTAAGAAGTGCGCAGTTAGCTTTCATTTTTGGACATATAAGGAAGGGAAGTATTGGCCATATGATTAGAAACATGGTATTTTTTTCATGTAAAGTTTTAACGGCAACACAGCAGAGTTGGATCATGTAACTTCCCTTTTACTTTTGAACGTAGCTGTAATGCAGCTGAATGATGCATTTTTCCAAGAGTAGTAAAGAGAAGCTACAAATTCTTTTTTTAATTTTAGAAAGCTGCACGTCTGCAGAAGTTGTTGTTGCTGTTGATGTGAACACTCTTGCCAATGAAGTTTATAAGCACAACTTTCCCAGCACACCATTATGGGCAAAGGCGATTGAGGTGAGTAATGAATGTCTTTTTTGCTCTAGTCTGGCATTTGTAGACGTAAGTTGTCTTCACTATCCTTGTTACTAATAAGAGAAACAAAAAGATTTCATTTGTTGTTATGAATAGAGCAGTTTTAAAATAACTTTGATTTCTTGTGCTGTGGTTGCTTGTTGAAGTTAGAGGGATACTCACACTGGAGTCTTTTCCTGAAAGTCTTGACTGTTGCATCAAGAAGGGTTACATGAATGTCAAGAGGAATGCTTACCAGCAATAAAGGAATGACAAAAATCATACTTTTAGATTAAAAAAATATTTTCATGTATTTTGAAAGAATTCAATTAAATTACTTGGAGGCATGACTTCATTTCATAGTTATAGTTGAGCTCAGTAAAACACAAAAAAATATACTGGATGGGACAGTCTTAAATCTTTTTGTGGGCTCAGTACATCAAACGTTTTAGGAATTCTGTCCCTCTTCCAAATTATTTGAAGAAGAACTAGGTAAAACTGGCTTCTATTTTAATAATTGAGGGGCAAACTAGGCATGTGGTTTTGCCTGGATTTAGTTAGAAATTACTGTACACTTTTTAATCTTCTTTTACAGTTTTACAACATGACAGTAAAAGATACTGAATTTGTTTTAAGACACCAGCTTAAGTAAAACTTAAACAGGTGGCTAAAGGTTAGCTGCTTATTCAGTACTCAATAATAACAGGCTAAATGATAGTTTGAAGTTTTATATGGGAAAATACAAATATGCAGATTACAGTCAGCAAGGCCTTCTTTAAATTTATTGGAAAAATAGCAGCTTTTGTCTATTTCTATGGGCAGTTATGTTACATTTGCTTTACAGATGTCTGTCAAAATATGTAAGGTGGTGATTTCTTTGTCTAGCTCATAGTTACTTGATTATTATCTTTCTCCTCTCCTCTTGGCCTCTTAGTATGTTGTCCATCTAGTGTTGCTTAAGATTAGTCTAGAGGAACTTCTACCTGTGTAGTTATTTCATGCCACTAATTCATTCTTCTCTGAACAGAAATATTTTTGCAGAGTAGAGCTTTCAGCTGTATAGTATCTTTGAGGGATTTTTACTTGGCAAAAACTAAAATGAAGTAAACTTTACAGGATGCATTGGTAGTGAGCTCCTAAGAGTTAAAACTCACAGTTTGGACCTGTAAAAATGACCATGTTAACACTTGAGCTAGTTTTCTGTTCAGATATTTTGTCTTTTGAGAAGATCTAATATTTTTTCACCTGTTTTGGATATGTTAATTTTTTTTTTTTTTTTAATGTACAGTCTTCATATCTGAATAATGATACTTTATTTGGAGGAAATAACTAGTTGGTATTTTGATGTGATCTACTGAAAGAACCACTACACCTCTTCTGAAAGAATGAGTAGATAAAAACCTCAAGATTATGTATAGATGCTAACATCATTAGTGTTTTTGATTCATATTCAAAGCAACCAAATGTATATTTGCATTGTATGGTTAGCCAAGGTAGAAAAGAATGAAATTATTAGGTCAAATGGGAGATTAGCAAGTTTTTTGCTAGATGAAGCATATAGTGAAAGTGAGAGGGATGGCTTGGTCAAGATGACTTGAGAATTTCCTACAGTTTACAACACTCAAAATTCTTCTATTTTTTTCCTTATTCAGGGCATACCACTGAAAGAATTTGACAGATTATCTTTTGATATGATTTTGATGAGTCCTCCCTGTCAGCCATTTACAAGGTAGATATAGCAACCTTTGGAGAAAAGTGTAGTTGTTACTGTATGTACTGTTAAAGGAGAAATGTTTTCAAGAGTGATGCAATGTGTCGTTCACCTGTGTATCTTTCTCTTCCTAAGCAACAATGTTGTAACCCTATTCACCATGAGATTTACTAAAGTGGAAGAAATGCAGCAATTTGAATCTTAATTCTTGATCACATTTCTTGTAATGTGTATTTTAATTCAGTTGAAATTAAGTAAGCTTCTTACAGCACCTATTTTGCATACTGTATTGTTCCTCTAACAGTGAATTTAGAAGATTTTACTGTTTCGGAGTGCTTTGTTTCCCTGTAGGTATCAATCTAATCTCTCTCTGGGGCAAATCCAGAAGGAGGATTGGAATTTCTTACTTCTGCCTGAGACTAAGAGTGTAATCTGTTTTTATTTGTACTTTGAAAATTGCACGTGCACACAAGTCGTTTATTCTGAGGAATATTTGTATTTTAGCCAAAAGTAGGAGGATAATGGCTTTGAAATAATTTTGTGGGTGGTATAGAGAAATATCTGCTAATCAAGAACTGAACTTAACTGTGATGTTACTTGTCAGGTTAGTTTCAGATTCATATAGTTTGACAGCAGTGACCAGTGGAGGTAAGATTCTAGTAACTGTACTCATGCAAAGTAGTAGCTTCATGAAAAATTCTGTTGATGGTGATGAAACTGCTTGTGTAAGAAAGTATATCTCAATGAATGCTCTAAGATTAAAAAGAAATCCCTCCGAAGTGGTGCTGATCTATAAAAACGTATTTGTGCAAACCTATGATGTGTATAGGGATCATTCGTTCAAAGTTTTTTCTTTTATAATACCTTGAAAAAAAAATCTTTGTATGACTAATTAAAGTAGAGACATGCTAAACGTTTTCTACGAAGGCTTTGTTCTTTTTAAGAGCTAATACAAGTATAAGTTAGAGGAACACTGGCCTGGAATCGTTCTGTTATGTTATTGTTTTTATAACCTCATGAGCTGTCCAGTTTAATGTTACAAAGTTATTCATATGGGGCTCAATCCTGCAAAATGGTGAGCACTGAGGCTTTAATTCATAGAAATAATTTAATATATTCAATATAAAATAGCTTGGTATTCCCAGGAACTTCAGTGGGTTTTTTTTTTTTTGTTCTTTCAGAGCCAAGTACGTTCAAGGGGTTTGCTGGACAAGACCAGAATGCTAAATGCTTTGCAGACTGGGGAGTGGGTTTCATTACTGAAGCTTCAATTTTAACCTCGCTGTGAGCTGATAGATTGCAGGGCAGACTTTCATTCCTTAGAGCATTTCTTAGGACACTGCCTCTGTGAGCAGGTCCTCATGTCTATACACAATGCTTTTGCAGAATCCCTTTTTGAAACTCAAAGCAAAAAGTGTCAGCATTCTGTAGAAAAATGCAAGTCAAATGTCAGTCTGCGCCAAGTAATATACAGGTGTTTCGTTATTCTTTCTTAGAATTGGCCTGCAAGGTGATGTATCTGATCCACGGACAAAGAGCTTTCTCTATATCCTTGATATTCTCCCAAGGTATAAATGAACTTCTACCTCAGTTCTTAAGCCTTTGATGTAACTAAGTAGGTGTTTTATATTGCAGCGAGACAAGTCATCTATAATGTTAATACTATTAGTATTGTGTAGTATTACTTGTTTGTTTTCACGTGATCATATATAACTTAAATACTTGTATTTTACTAATGCCATTATCATCTCATAGTTACTGTATGCTTTCATTGTTTGGTTTTCTTTTTTATTGTGTATCTGTTTAAACTGTGGCTATATCATAAATGAAACAAATTGAGTTATTTATTTTCAGTTCAACATCAAACTTGCACTGACTTTATTTAGAAGCAGGAGCAGGTAATATAATAGTTTGCTAATGGGCATCATGGAAACGTGAAAATTGTTTGAAATACCAGGTTGAAAAAGCTTTGATTCAACATTTAGTCACCTTTTGAATAGGTAACATTTGAAAGAGTTTGTTTAAATATGTTATTGACTGCACACTACAATATACATCTTCCATTCACTTCTATTCTTTCTTAAAGTGTCTATTCTGTCTTTTTGGTGCTGCTTCTAGATATCTTGGGGCAGCTTGTCTATTTTTGGTTTGTAGTACAATCTCTTGTTTTAAGTAGTAATACTAAAAAATTTGAATAGCACTGCACTGTCTGAACAGTGCCCTTGTCTTTGTGTTCATCTATCATTTTTGCCTGGTCAGACCCCAGTTCCTAATAAAATAGCCATAATTATTTGTATTATTTATGCATTAAATTTTGAAACAGTAAATCCAAACAAAGTGGTTTTTGCTGACCTAAATTGTTCTTTCTGAGAGTGTTAAAATCAGCACCAGGTAATGCTTGTAGTCTTTTTTGGGAAGAGATGTATAGCACTGTAAGAACCCTTCCTGGGGAAGTGAAGCAAGCAGTTGCTCAGGGAGGTTATCCAGCAGAAATCTCTGCTACTGGAATGAGATGTCCATTGGGCATCAGTTGGTATGAGCCTCGGAATTTGCATTAGTTACAGTCCACCAGATGCTTACCTGGCAGTCTTGCTTCTGCTGGAGACTGAGACAGCTGCTCTCTGTATATTCTTTCATTGGTTAATCTTGCTTTCAGAGTTGGAGGAGGACGAAAAAAAGTCTGGCTGGCGTTCTTTTTTTCTTAATTTTTTTTTTTTTAAATGAATGCTGACTGCACAGAAGGAAACCAGTACCAATAATAGGCTTTCTTTCAAACTGCTGTTATACTGCGAGAAGAAGGTCTTCATCGTTCTTCCAGAAACAACTTTTTTGCAGTGAGCAACATTAAATGGGACCACCTCTTTGCCCTTGTCATCAGCAGATAGAGAACACAGACACAGAAGGGCTGAGTGACTTGGCTGGGATTGCCTAAGAAATCTGTGGCAGAGAACACAAAATGGAACGCAATACAGATTCTGTAGCCTAGTAAGTTAGACAATTAATAGGTAAAAAGAAGGATTATTATTACTCCCCCGCTTCTAGCAGAGGCACAAAAATAGGGAGATAACGTGGGTTTCCAGAAGTTGCAAAGGATGTCTTTTCTGGAACACGGAATGTAACTCAGTCCTGCAGACTGACCTTTCAAAATGATAAATTAAAAACAGCAGATAGTGTATAAGTTAATAATTTGTCAGAATAATAGTACCTTCCTTATCCTTACGAGAATCCTGACCTCAGTATTCCTTTCCATTAAACTGAGACACAGTTAAGAGGCTGGGCTGCTTTTGGGACACTGTTGTGCATTAATATGGAAAGGTTGCTTCTTGGTTGCTGTGGGCTTAGCTGGATAAAGGGCAGAAGCTTTTCCTTTTCAAAACCAAAGCTTTAGACACTGCAGGACATATGTTTTTCGTCACGATGATGCAAAGGAGCTGGGCTTGGCTGTGGCACTTTATCTCAACACCCCATGAGACCCTGCTGACGTCTCTTATCTCCCTTGGGCAGGTTGTTTCTTGAGGCAGTACTTACTGTAAGCAGTCTGTAATACGTTCAAGGTGGTGGCTTCTGCAGAGTTTCTCAGTTCCAATAGATTTATGTTTTACTGAGATAGTGTTTGTGTGTTTTCTGGATATGACATGTTTGCCAGACATTGAGTATGGAGTATTTCAGCCCAAAAAAGGGAAATTCTTAATATAGGAATTATCACTTTGCGTTCTAAATTGGTACGGCATGCATTCAGTTTATGGAAACTATAAAATAATTTCTCATCCCTTGGCTGTTCCTATTTCACGTTCAGCCTTTTATAATGAAATGTTGCTGAAATGAGGCTCAAAGATAGCTTGGGAAGACAAATATTAGAGATATGGAAAGGATAATTTCAAGATCTGGAAAGACCTGGGAAATCCTTGGAGCACCCAGGGGGCAAACAAAGTCTGACCTAGATGGTCCAGATACTGTCTATCGTGTCCAAGCCATAACCCAGGGAAATCTGATGCTAAGACGTCAAAGTGCTACTTTTACAGATACATTTGTAATGTTAATACCTGCCAAGTACTTAACACATACTCTTTGTATAGTGATTACTTGTCTTGTGATCTGTTGATCCTGTATGAGCTCTTGCATTTCAGGCTGTGCTCTGGATTCATTACTTTAAAAATAAGTTTCATAGTAGGTGATGATGATGTTGAGCGTGGGTAAACATACCAACAGATATAGTCTCGATTCCTCTGCAGGGAATTTGGCTGCTGCTGCTTTTTTCAGTTCAGTATTTTTTTTTCACTATTATTTTTAGTATTTTTAAATTGACATAGTATCTTGTACATTTTCCAATTTCTTGTGAAACGCTTTAGTTCTTTAATTCTTCATGTGAATGTCTTTAACTGATGATAGTTAAGAACATGTTAAAACAAATTCTGCTGTGATTTGTACCAGTGGAAGTCCAAAGTCACTTACAGATTTAAATAAGCATGGAGCTGCTGTCTGGTGGCATTAGTATCCTGTTTCTATATGCTCTTCTGAGATACCAATGTGTGGCTGACATCCTATGTCTACATTAGCCTTACTAGAGAATTAATCAGTGCCAGGGAATGTTCCCAGAGACTTGAATCTGAATCATCTATGCTTATAAATTGTTAGAATGGTCCCTGGCACAGTTTGGGCATGCTCCTTTCTCCAGAGGTTTAATATGCTGTTTTTGGAATGAGCCTATTTCCAAACCTCTGCACTGATCTTGCCAAACATCAGCCGCCTCCTTCCCCCGCCCCCCATCAAAATGAAGAAGTTAAGTATAGAAAATTGAGAATGTCTGCAGTTTGAGCTCTAAACATGTCGTATTTCTTAAAGCAATTAGGTGGTTACTGGTTCTGATGTGTTATCACTAAAGTTGATGTGACATTTTGACATTAATTTCGGGTTTAAGCACTTTAAAACAAAAGTTTTCTGTTCAATGGCTAAATAGTGATCTTTTTTCCACCAACAACTATCTTTCCTATTACAAACTCAATCTGTTGAATAATCATATTATGCTTTAGGAAATGAACAGTGGTAAGCATTTTCAGAAGTACATGCATGGGGTACAGGAGGGTACAGCAGTCCATCTGAACATCCATAAGTGTTTTTTGTTGTTTTTTACAATTACCAGCAGTCCACATTTTAAATTCACTTGGGAATTATTTGATCTAGGCAATCTTGAAAGTTGAGGTACATTTTTTTAAGGATGCTAAACTTCAACAGCTAGCATGATGTGGAAATACTTTGATCTTTCTTGTAGCTAAACAAATCTGTGGATGAATATAATGTTGTTTACATCTTGTTACTCTGATTTGTTGATCTTTTTTTTTTTTAACTTGTAGGCTCCAGAAGCTTCCGAAATACCTACTTTTAGAAAATGTTAAAGGATTTGAATCCTCTTCTGCAAGGTAAAGTCTAATTTATGCAGGTTTTAGTTTTTAATAAAGGACATTTTCTGTAGAAGGGGAAGGCAGGATTTTTTTTTTCCTAGAATTTAAGTTAACAAAATAGAATGAGATGGGACAGCTAGCAGCTGTGAGTTAAACATACTGTTTTAATTTAGGAATGAAAATCTTAGGTTGTGAAAGGAACTTGCTAAATAACTCTTTCTTTCTCTAAGCAGATAAAAGATGTTATAACAAGTTGCCTCCATTGATCTTATTTGATGATCCTGTGTCCTTTAGAAAGGGTCAATATTAATTTTCAAAGAAAAATAACAATAGGTATAGCACTCAGAGGTTTTGGGTTTTTATCCATGACAGGAGCTCATGGTATCCTGTGTTAAGATCACAGTACAGTATAGGGGCTTTCTTCAGTACCTTTGTTGATAGTGGATTATCACTGGTTCAGGGTTGCCATCAAATGGTCCAGAGATACAGTATGAAGACTGTATGTAATCTTCTTCTGAAATGTGGAAGAGGAAAGTTGTCAATAAGGTTATCTAATGACAGCAGGAGCATTCTCCTCTCTTGTGGGCAAAGCAGGAGACAGGGGGTTGCGGTCTTCCTTCTCATTTCTTGCTGTAATAAAGTAGGATCTTTCCATAGCATTCCTTAAAGCACCAAGAGAGCAGCCACTGTGCATATCATGCTCCTTAATGAATATGGCAGGCAGCTGGGAGATATGTTCAGCTCTCTCACTGGTTAAGTGTGCAGCAGTCCTCTGTGAACACTTGAACACTTTGTTGAAGGTGCAGGCTGCTGCTGTAGACCCTGCAATTCCCTAGGCTATGCCTTGTTGGCCAGTGTTTGGAACAAGCTGTAGTTCAGAAAACACCCCAGTCAGAACACTTGCTTTCTCTTCTGACACTTGGGATGCAGTGTCACACACAGTGCTAGGTATAGGTCACAGCTCGTGCTTTTTCTATAGTTCCAGCCTAGTGCAGTCTGCATGGAATCAAAAAGACAAGTCTTTTTATGAAGATTTCTATTTCAGTGATTTTCCATTGTTTATAAAATACAGTCCTACCTCACTGTTATTATAAAAGCCACCAATTTTCGTCATGCCTTGAGGTAGCCCTTTTGTTAAGCGTAGCTGATGCCATGTGTGTGAACAGAGGAAGTAGTGAGCTATTTGTAGTGGTTTAAACCTCCTGTTTTATAATTCACAACAAAGAGAATGTTTTGCCCTCTGATTATTTTCCTTGTTGACACATTAAGTACTCTCCTAGAGATGGGATATTTTTTGAAGGGGTGTTTGCACCGAAGTAGATGTGAGATACCTGTGAATGTGTAAGAGTAATTTTTGGCTACAGTAACACTGAACTTTGTATGTTGTCTCCTCAAGTTCAGAAATGGATGACTTCATATCTGTAGTTCTCTGTCCAATTCTTTCACTGAATGTGCTGAATGTCTTGGTACTTAAGGTGTTGCATTTAATGTGTTTTTATTTAGGATAAAAAAGGGCCTAAAGGTTGTATGAAGGAAGTAATTGCTTTTTGATTCTTTTCACTGCCAGAAATGAACTTTTGCAAACACTAGAAACATGTGGATTTAAATATCAAGAATTTCTCTTGTCTCCAACCTGTGTGAGTACTAAAATTGCTCTAATATTATTTAACTTTTCAAACTGCAGTGAGCCTAAGAACATTTGGAAATGATCTATTGTATTAGAAAAGAGTCATGCCCAGAGCTGAAGATGTTCTTCTGAATGAGAAAACCATCTGGCATAACTTCTGATTTTTTATCAGTATGCTGTCATAATAATACTGATGTTATTGTTCAGATCCTAGTTCCCATATTGCTTTGCTACCATTTGATATTTTTTAAGAAGGCATGAATTTACACCATGTCCAGGAAGCTGGTTTTCCCTGCAGGAGCCTCATTGCTTCAGAAGTGCTGATGCCTGTGAATTTCCCAGCACAGAAAATGTGACTGTGTCATTTGTGGGAGGAGGGGCTTTGTTTGCATGTTTCCCTGGCGACTGAAAAAAGAGTTGAGAGAGATTTCAGACTGTGCAAGACTAAATGGAATCAGCGAAGTACTGTACATATCTGAGAGAAGCTGATAGAGGGTAGCTTGAAAACCAGTTTTGGTGCATTTGTTTCATTGTTAGATGTCTTACAATTCCTTGTTCGGAAAGGCAAGGAGACACCTTTTTGCTTTTTTATAGAAAACAGATAGTACCTGTCCCAAGAAATCGTGATGCATGTTGTTTTTCTTCTTGCCTCGCATATTTACATTCCTATTCATTTACAGAGAAACTAAAAACCATGAGGTACAAAGAATAATTCCCTGCTTGTTTCCATGAAAATACATAGGTATGGAAGTTATAAGTGTTTAGGTATTATCCGTTAATACTGATATCTGTGATGTTGCAAAATATATTAGTGTGGCATAGTTCTATTACTGTGTATAATGGTAGATAATTTGTATGACACTATAGACCACTTTTTCTCTCTTTATCACATGGACTAAAGGCTTGTGGATTTTGCTTACAGCTTGGCATTCCCAATTCTAGGCTGCGATATTTTCTAATTGCAAAGCTTCACCAAGAACCATTTTCCTTTCAAGTTCCTGGTCAGGTGAGTCTATTAGTGTTGCTTGAATTTGCTTTGTTTCATGAAGATTGAGGGTTAAATTTTCAGTTTAGTAGTGTGTGTTGAGGAATGGAGAAAGGGATAAGTGATAGCAACAGAGAAGTTAAATTTTGTCTCTCTTTTTCGGCCTGGAGTTTTCTAAGGACTGCAATGCATGCCAGTGGCTTAGATGGCTTTAAACTGTTGGGGGACAGTGGCTGATAGTGGGTGAGAAAACAATGCATTCTGCTGCCTTTTTCACACCCTTGGAAAGGTCTTTTTGCAAAGGCAGTTATCTGTGGTTGTTCCTGACGTCATTGCTGGTTAGCATCATCTTGATGCTAACATTTTTTGAAACCTTAATGAAAATAACATTGAATGGTTACTTGCTTTATTCTGAGCATCTTTGCAGGTTTTTTTACTCACTGCAGAGTCTGCTGTCAAGTTGTTTATCAAATGCAATTCTTCAATTTTTTTCTCACAATTTGTTCTTAGATATTGACAAGATTCCCAGGTCAGGATCTAGAAGACTTATTCAAGGACAAAGTCACTGACAAAGTGGGTGAAGCTAGTTCTTCCTTGTCTGCTGAAGAGAAGAATCTGGATCCAAACATTGGTCCTGATTGCAGGAGCAAGAAGAGTTTACCAAAAGGGGCCTTTCTTTTTAAGCTTGAAACAGTAGAAGAAATTGAAAGGAAACATGGTCAGGACAATGATTCCTCTATTCAAATGCTAAAAGATTTCTTGGAAGAGGAAAATGAAGAAATGAGTCAGTATTTCTTACCACCAAAGTCCTTACTGCGCTATGCTTTCTTGTTAGACATTGTTAAGCCCACCTGCCGGAGATCCACATGCTTTACAAAAGGGTAAGTTGCGAAGAAGATGTCTTGCTGAATCATGTCCTGAAACTTTAAGTGTGTTTTTGCTTGTGTACTGTAAGAACAAGGAGAGCCATTTCATTAAAAAAACCCAGGCCTCTGGAAAAAAAAAAAAATCTCCTTATATAGTGTGCTTCCTGGACCAGTGGAATGCCAGCATGAGAATCTGTCTGGCAGAACATCATGTGCCCACTCCAAAAAGGCATTCACAAAAGACAGTGCCATTTGTTGTTGACCTTCACAGAAGCTTAATTACCCCTGCGGAAATATGGTTCCAGTAGACTGGTATAGTACTGATTCATTAATGAATTTTTTTATATTGCTCAGTGAAGTTACAAAGTGTCATGCATGATAGATCCATTCCTCATTAAAACTGTCTCCACTGTACATTTTATTGATTTCTTGGATTTTTCAGCTGTGTAGGTCAGAATAGCTGTGGATTGGCCATATGTCATAAAACCAGTTAGGTTGCTGCATTACAAATCATATTTGATGGAACAGAACATCAGTGCTTTTCTGTCTAGTAGTTTTCTGATTTGTGCTTTGCAATTTTAAGTTTGACTGCCGGAAGTTGTTGAGTGTTCTGAAACCCCGCAGACAATCAGTCAGGAGCTTTTCCACTGAATGCATTTGTATTGGAAAATGCCGGTTGGAGCCTGGATGTTTGTGGGAAATGTTAATATTGGTGAATTTTTCAAATTAGATTGTTTTTTTGGAATTCTCAGAATGTTTCAACAAAATGGTTTAGTTGATGAGTTAAAGCTAATTATAACTTCTTTTTTTAATTAGTAGAAATTAGACTGCCAGATGGACAGAGTTCCTGCAAATTTTGTGATTTCAACTTTTTGACGATAAAAAGCCTGAGAAGAGGTAGAACTTCAAAAGTTCAAAATTTGTGCAACAGAAAAGCCCTTCCCCCAGCTTTCATTGACATATACCTTTTCTGTCCTCACTTTTTTGAGTTGTGGGAGAGTCAGCATCTCATGGGATCTGTTTCTTAACTAGAATAGTCAAATAAAAACCTTAGGCCAGAATCATCTCTTATGTATATCATGTATGCCTTAAGTGTCATCAAAAATAAATTGGCCACTTGTGGTTTCACTAGAATTCATCATGGTAGTTTGTGGTCATGTTTATCAAAATCACATTGAATGAGGCTCCTGAGTAGTTCTTATGAAGTCTTTATATATAGTGGTAGGAAATCTGACATGGAACGTGACTGTTGCCCTTCTGCTGATGTGGAAGGAGCCAGGCCAGATAGTTGTGGTAGTTCTTCTTGGCTCAAAATGTAGGAATCTGATTTACCGTCTTTGTTCCCTTTTTTAAGAGCCCTTAGGAAGGAAGGTTTCCAACATGGTTCTCAATGTGGTCATACAATTTACAGCTCTGCATTAAGAGAAAGATTATAATCAACATCTCAGGCTTCATCCAGGACACGTTCTGAGGCCAAGAATAAGTTGCTGCTGTATGTGTTCTAGGAGTTCTGTTTTTACCTTTCTCCGAAGCATCAGATTTACGAAAGAGGACACTGAATGGAGCAGAACAGCACTCCAAGTACAGAACAGTACTCCCAAGTAGTGCAGAGAATCCTTCTGCTGAGATGCCTGTCTGATGTCTTTCTTACAAGTCATACTGTTCATCAGCTTTGAGACTGGGAGAAAAATTTCCCTCAGTTCTGACTGATCTTCAGATATTTCCAGCAAGGTTCGTGTGATGAGGGTAATCTGGGTATGCCTTCTCCAGTCCTTGCTAATTCAGGGATCTCAGACACTGATACTTCATCAGTGTTTTTTGCCTTTTGCATTTGTCATACCAGTATGTCTTCTGAAAGGCTTTGGTGGAGTATAGGGCAAAATGTAACGGCCTGTGATGCGTGAGAGATCAAGCAGATGATCCTGTGTTCCCTTCTGACCTTGGACTGCTAGGCAATTGGAAAATGATTGCTGAGTTCCTTGAGACTACAAACACCATGGTTTCTCTTAGGAGTATGTTTGTGGTGACTGAAGTTCTGAGATGAAATTGTCCATTTTAAAGGACGGAGCAAATGAAAACGACTTCTTTAGATATAATCATTCCGGAGTTACTTGTAAGTTCTTGATATGCTATTGACAAGAGAAGCAATACCTTCTAAAATAGTGTAATATTAGTTACAGAAACTCTCTCTAGCATTGTGGAAATTACCTTTTTCTTAGTCATAGTATAGGGGACAATATAGCCAGAAATAATATGTATGAAAAAATATGTAATGTGTATGAAACTAAGAGGGTTTTTTGGAAAGCTTTCAGAAATAAAGGGGGGGGGGAAATCTTGAGTCAGCTGAAAATTTAAGACTGTAATTTCTTAAGCCAGATTCTTTCATTATAACTGGTAATCAAATGTCAGAAAATCAATGTGTCGTTTTTTACTGTGGCAAAAAATCCCATCTTTAATTATGTTCTGAGTCTAAGGTAGGAATGTTAATTTTTCTGTAGTCAGCAGCTGCAATAATAATTAATAACAATCCAGCTAACATTGGCCATCTGCCCACGTTTGTGTTAAAAAACCAATCACCCTTCCCCCTCCCCGCCCCCAAACCACTTTTACACCAACTGGATTATTTTTGTGAGGAGTTCTGTACTCTAGTGCCAGTTATTTAGACTGAAGTATTTTATATAACATGGATCCTATTAAAAGATTCTTTTCCCCCAATAAAACTCTAAAATACCACTTGAAATTTATCCTCATGTATTTATTTTGGCTCAGATACATTCATCTGAAATACGATCAGATGCTACGTAAGAAGATCAGGATTCCTTAGTGCTATGTGTGTTACATTGTTAAACGTGGTATTAGGGAATTTTCAGAATGCAACTAACCAATTAAAGGTGACGTGTTTACAACACGGTTCGATTCCATGTGTTTTTAATCTGTATCAGTGTTTAGGGCCTTTTGTTCTGATCCTAAGGAAGATTTGCAAGCACTTTATTTTAAAATGAGTGTTGCTCTCACTGATACTGGCAGAACTACTCGCAAGCTTTTCTGACTGAAGAAGAAATTCTCAAGATTGTGCCCTACTGGGTCATTGTGTCTGTGCTGAAGGGAGACTATTCCGTTATTCATTGTGGAATTAGAAAGGCTTGAAACAAAAATTGTTCCAGCGCCTTCCTTTAGAATGGGCCCCAAATGGAGCAAAAGACCTTTACAACTGACTTTACAGATGCACAGATAAAACTAGAGAATAGTATCTGTTAATGGTGGATGCAGACCACATCGCTCTAATGCAGGGGATCTTCTGAAGCTCTTCCACTGTGCAAAAGCCATCTGTTGACTTGACTCAGTCTCTTTCTGTTCAAGATGTTCAAATACTATCATAGTTAGACCAGCAGAGCATGTTTCTGAAAGCCCATAATTACATTTAAGTGGTAGCCTGGAAGAGACTACAGAGTAAATATGTTGTTATGCAATCGACCACAAAGCATCCAAAAAAGCTATCATATGGTTTTAGAATGTAAGTTTGCTTACATTTTCTTCTTTTTCTTTCTTTCTTCTACTGCTCTGCATAGATGCCTGGCCATCCCCTATCCCTTCCCTCTATGGAAAATCCACAAGCAACCAAAAGTTAAACCTGACTGAACCACTTTGTTCCTAATGGATTGATATAAAAGCTGAAGGCTCACACTAATTGTCCTTCTTTGAATACAGAGAGCTGATTTGAACCCCTGGGGCCATTTAGCCTTTAAAACATTTTCCCTTAATGTAAAATTGGTTTGTGCAATGTAGATGGCCCTTTCTGATGATGCTATGCTTGAATTCCTTGGCCTTGTATAGTTGCCTAGTTGCCTTATATAAGACATTAGTGTGGATAAACCCTTGTGCATTGATTGCAGACTCATCCCCAAAGAGCGTGTTTAGAGGCTACTGCACTCCAAGGGTTAACATTGTTAATAACAAGGCCTTTTGCTTTATCTATCCAGGAGGTGATTTGTTAATCAAAGCAAAGGAACCTAAGTAACCTCCCTGCATCTTTGCAGTTGTCAGTACTATGAGGTCCAATGAAAATATTAATTTAAGATTGTTAATTGTTGTCAAGGTATGGACACTATGTAGAAGGGACAGGCTCAGTTCTGCAGACAGCAGGAGATGTACAGGTAAGAATGAGTAGACTAATATATGAGAATGACTTGTTTTTTTCTGTCTTCTGCTTTGTTATTCTGAATATTATAACAAAAAAGCTTTTAAAACTAAAATTTCATGGCAAGTGAGTTTCCAATTGATTTACTTCACATTCCTAAACAACAGTTTATTTAAATCAAGATTATATGTGTGCCTCTCTCTGTGGAGAATATGAGTTGCTAGTATTTTATTCTCTGTAGTGTCATACAGAGGTTTCACAGGGTGTGTGAAAACATTAAAAATTACTAATTCTATGGGTAAACTACAGTACAGTGTTGTGAATGTAGGGCCATTTTTTATACACAGATTATCCAATAAATATTTTCAAATGTTTAGCATGTTTGAATTTCAAAAGTATTATTTATCTGGGAAGACATAGTATTTTGAAAAGTTCTACTGTTTATACTGAGTTCACCACAAAGTGATGTTTTGGCATTGGGGAAGGTAAAAATAAATGTATTGGTGAATCATCATTCAAAGATACTTTTCACAAAGCCTGTTTTGTACACAAGCACAGCCTCCTGCACTTCTGTGCTGTTCACTAATATATGGCATTTCTAAGCATAAGAAGAATGCAGCTTTGGAACTCAGGATAATGTCAAAGCGAATGTTTTAGAACAGCTACATCCATACAGCTTAATTTGTGTGGATGGTCTGCTACTGAGTTGTATTAAGTCACTATCCTATCATTAACAAATGTTTATAGTCCTTTGATTGCCTCATTAAGTATTGGTATAGCTTGTAACTGGAGGAAGAAATGATGAATGCCCTCATGGCAACATTGATTTCTTTCTTGCAAGTCCATGTGTTGAGGTATTGGCTGCAAAAATACAACATCAATCATACTTTCAGGCAAAACACACTATTTTCTTTGGCACTGTGATAATCAAAGAAATATTCTGTTAAGATGTGAGTGTTAAATTTTACATATTTGGCCTGCATCGGTGATACCTGTTGTTTTGGATGTTCTTCATAGCTTGAATCAGTGTTTAAACGCATTGAGGAGTTACCAGAAGAAGAGAAGCTTATGAAATTGTCAACACTAAAACTGAGGTACTTTACTCCAAGAGAAATAGCGAATCTTCATGGATTCCCTCTGGAATTTGGTATGTGCTGCAAAGTATCCATTTCTACATCATTCTTCAGATATGCCAATAATGTTTTTTTACTGAGGACTAATCGCTTTTTATTTTGCAGGTTTTTTTTTTTAGACTGCTGAATTCTTATGATTGATTCTTGTTATTTGGCAAACTCTGAATTTCTCTGAATTTCCACTAGTTTTTTATATTTATAAGAGCCAGCTTCTGTGGTTACGTTTATCTTCATAAACTAAGAAAAAAGTTCTGGCATGAGAAAATGCTCTATTACTGAATGGCAATGAAAGAATACCTTTGTTTAATGTTGAAACTATTTACTTACTCAGCAGCCAGCATTACTCACAACTGTGGTAAGTCAACATACCCTGCCAGTTTAGGAGGTCTGTTAGTGGTTCTCAGTGTTTGAGCTGCTTGATTTCTCCCTTCCGCACATTTGCAGCTGCTGACAGAAACGGAATTTCAGAAGATACAGATACTTCTTTGTTCAGGAGTAACCAAACTCTTCAGTTAATGATCTTTTAACTCATCTCTATTTTCTAGAAAAGGCAATCTTAGCCCTTGGTCCGTTACTTCATTTTCTGTTTTTGTAGAGAAGAGCGAGTCAAGGAACAAGACTCAGCAATACCAGTTCAGGTCAACCAGAATTAAGCCTGAAATAAATTCACCAGAATTCCCCTTGTAAAGAAAGACAGGCAAGAAAGTGTAGCTGTTACTACCTGCGAAGGAGCTTGGCCTGCTGCCATCACATCAGATCAATTTACTGTCTTTCAGCAACACAAGCATCCATAGAATAAGATACCACTGACCTTGAGTAATTTGCTATATTTTTCTTTGACTTCCTCAGTGACTTAGAGTTCTGAGGAGTGCTAATAGTTTTTATATATTTATTTCTTTTGCAGTTTTAGTTTGTTTTCTCATTTATTACTTAGTTATATTCAAAATTACTACATTCAAAGAACATTATTGAGGTTGCAAAGTCAAACGTTAGAGTTGCCAGCACTAAGCTTACTTGTTTAAGAGTATTTGCAGGAGTGTGCTATGTTGAGTTACATGCTGACATGCAGGATTTTTTCATAGCCTCTCTTCTTTAATAGATTTGTTCTTTTTGCAGACAGCCTTTTTCTTAGTACAGCTCTGTTCCATATTGATGTAGGCTGATGTAAAGGAACCTGAGCTAAACAGGGCTGGATTGGGCCTGTATAGGTTTATCACGGTGTTCAAGACCTCTTTTGAGCAGAGAAATGCCCGTTTTCTCTTCTTTTTAAAATACAGCTTGTGTTTTCCAAATGTTAAATCAGTCTTTGCAACATCACTGAGAGGTGTAGTAGGGTTAATATTGCTTGTATTTTACAGGGGGAGAACTGAGACAATGGAGATATTTATGTTTGGAAGACTGCATTAATTTAGAGGGATCAGTCTGTGAAACCTGACCTTTACTATTTCAGAGTGCTTGTAATGATACCATGCTTTCTCAGTTCAGAGCTCACCTTCAGGGACAGCTGTGAGCTTCAATATTTTTGCAAACCAGAACTGAACTCTCAAGACAAGTCAGGCTTCTGAGTTTGAGGACCATCCAGATCATTACCATCTATGAAGTGCTCATTTAGCAAACTTGTCTTTTGTCACCTGGGAACTGCGGAGGGAGGGACAGGGACAGATTCCACTTCTCAGAGGGCAGTACCCTTCTACCTTAATCATGGGACCTTCTTTACAGTTCTTGCAGTTCCCTGCCTCACTGTACTACTTTTCCAACTTCCACAACACGTGAAACAAGCCTCTCTCAACCAGTGGCTTCCTCTCGCATAGACTGCTGATTCATAGGCAGAACAAGCTTTTCCCAGTGCGCTGAGTCACAAGTCTAACATTTCTTTCCTTTGTGTTTAATCTGAGAAATTTCCCACTTTGTACTTAAAAAAAAGTGTTACTCAGCTCTAGGCTGATTGAAATCTGTGGTGAATTAGGTACTGTAGTCTTAAATTTCTTTTGAGGATTTGCAAGCTATGGTTGTTTTCGAAAGTTGCTATATTTATGGCTACAGCAAAGGGTGTTTCCCTGACAGCATTTCTCCCATGTTAAATTTCAAGTCATTATTGTGAAGTGTGGTATTTTCAGAGAGAAATGTGCTATAATTTCTCTGCACCTGTGTTCTGTAGTGACAGCAACATTTGGGCTGAAATTTTCAACAACAGAAAGCTTGGAGATGTACCCATTGCAAATACGTTGTTGGTCCAAGAAGCTAAAGAATGAGAAAACTATAAACTGAAAATGAAGTGAAGAGAATGTCAGGAAGCTTTGTAACAGATGCTATTACTAGCTGCAGCTACAGTATTATCAGAAGAAACATGTCTGTGTCTAAATGGTTCTATATTTTAACAAATTGATGGCCTTTTCCAATATGTGAGGTCCAGAGTTAAAATCATTGTTTGTTCTTAACATTAACAGATTTATTTGTGCTTTTAACATCTAAATGTGTAAATAGTAATTGCACTATACATCAATGAAATACTGCAGTCGTTTGTCTCAGTCGCTACTGTGGGTCCCACAACATTATCATTAAAAGTGATCGGAGCATTCGTGCACCTGTGACCTGCTTTCATAAGGGTGATGTCAGGATGCCTTTTCCATTTTTCCTGTTAGTGATGTATGTAAGCTATGAGGAAACAAATGGCAGTGTAGTGGAAAGCCAGCACAATGTGGTAGTGCATGTTGCCAAGACCGCAACATCATCAAGTAGCATGCATGACCTAAACAATACAGTGAGAGCTGTGCAGCAAGTGCCAGCATACTATGAGTTCTTAAATCTGTCCTTCTGATGCAGGCTACTCTTGAGCCGAGAAGATAGAAGGTACAAGATAATGTTAACAGGCAGATGGAGGAGGCTTGGAATAAAGGAAGAAAATTAATTCAGGCTTTCAAGTTGCCAAGAGGCAGAAGGAGAAACTCTGAAATTTACTGGGTTCAGATAAGCTTCTTGGGCTATAAGTGCATGTGCATGTGTGTGTGTGTGGATAAATACATATTTATTTTTATATACTCTTTTAAAGTGTAGATTCCGTACCTTATTCAGTGATTTAATGTGAAAACTCCATCTAAGGAAGTGTGTGGGGTAGTGCAAGTGATTGTTCCAAAGAGGGAAGAACGGTTGCCCAAATGTGGATGCCAGGAAGCTGGGCAGAGTGGATGGAGCTGGCAGAAGATGTGTTTACCGAAGCAGTCCACATTCGAGGCATTAATAACTGGCAGAGAAGGATGGAACAACTCCTCCCAGACACCTCCTCCTCAGCTTTCCACCTTTGGCTCAGCAACTGTTCAACCATGTTCTCTCCTGAGCAATGCCTGGAAGAGGATTTTTCTGAAGTGCTGTGAAAACTTCAGAGCATATATATCACTACTTGCACAGAAATGTGTTTATGCATCAAAGCTGATCTGGGTGGTGATGACCTTGGGCTCAAAGTTAGGTTTTCTTCTTGGGGAATGATCAAATAATTGGATGTGATCAAGTTTCAGCAGTTTAGCAAATGACCCTAAAGGTTGAATCACCACTGCTGTTCATCTTCCACTCCAGTTGAAGCAAATGTGCTTTAGCTCACAGCTGGGGTAAGCTAAGAGTGCAAGAAAGGACAGTTAAAGCAGACCAGCTGGCTGGTGGCAACTTCTTTATTCTCAGAAGCTTCGTCACCTTTGTACGCTCAATACACAACACAGCCCTTTCACAATACCTGGACCAGTTTAATTTTTTCTGGGCCTCCTTTCTGTCAGTCCATGCACTTACCATGTGAAGGACATTTCAGATGCTGTCTGTATTTCTGAGTGCATTTGATAGGGTCAGCATTGAATTACATGGGAAATTGTTCAGCTGCTTGATCACTCACTGAATAAGCCTTGCTCATAGCTTAATCCGTACTGGTGGTATATTGCACCAAGAGACTCATTTGATTTGCCTCAACTGGTTAGAGGGACTCAGATTGGAAGTACAATACAAAGCTTATTGAGAAATGCAGTTTAGTTCATCTGCAGAATCATCACATTTTCTTTCTGCCATGGCCACGTTCCTCTCTGGATGTTCTCTGGAGTAGTGGTTGTGCAGTGTTTTAGGTGCTGCTGCCCCTCCCTGAGACTGCTGGATGCTATATGAACAGAAGGTAGATCGGCATTAGTTACACGATAGAGCACTGTTTTGAGGCTTCTTGTTAAACGTTAGGGATGGCAGTACTGCTAATGGAAGAACTGATCCAAATCCAATGAACTGGTTGGGAATTATTTTTGTAACTTTGTGAATTTTAGGTGGGGGTGAACCCTGCTGCAACCTGTGATAACTGCATTAAGAACAGTTCACGGGGAAAAAGGAGTAGACTAAAAGCTAGGAACAAACCTAGACTAATGACATTGCACTATATGTTTTTGTTTTAGGCTTTCCTGACAAAATAACAACAAAGCAATGCTACCGTCTCCTGGGAAACAGCCTCAATGTACATGTAGTGGCAAAATTGATCTCCATTCTACTTGGATAATTTAGAACCTGAATCTAATGAGTATGGACTGGTGACAGAAAATACTTCCATCTTTCAAGAGAAAGCTGATGGCAACTGAACAAAAATCATAGCTTACTGAAATATCTGTCCAGACATTTTGCTGAACAGTTCTGACATACTTTTAATACCTTGCTTTTATGGTGGATTTGCACTGTAGAGGTGTTTTATTTAAATGGAAGTTTCCAGGACTTAATTGCTGTATTTAAATGTCCTTTTTAGTTTGCAAAATGAGAAAAAGAGCAGCATTTACATATACCTCAATGAAAATGGATAAGACTATTTTATTTTATCTTAAAACCATCTTCTCAGTACAGTATAAAAAGGCTGTAAATGTCACAGCTGTTTTAATTAAGTGCAGAGACCAAGTTCTGCAAGTAAAATGTCTTCATCTGTAAATATCAGTGATCCATTCTTAAAAGATTTATTGTATATATGATCTGAAATTTTGATGTGTTTTTTGTAGCTAATGAAACTATTAAATTCAATATTTTGTATATAATTTTTAAGAAGACACAGTGTCATCCTTAGTTTATGCTATATCAGTCTATATGTCTCATCCTCTCTAAATACTTGTAGGTTTCTGGAACCCAACTGTATCTGTCTGGAATGATTTGTTTAGGTGCAGCTGAATAAAAATATTTCAAGATTATCACAACCCTGACAATAACTTGTCTCTTTCTGTTCTCACTTACATTACTCAGGATAAGATCATTGCTCCTACCAAAGACCTACACATAAAAGACAAAAAAATTTAAAAGCTCCATGTCTAGGTTCCTATGGCACAAGGACTGGAGAAAAACTATATGGACTTCTGAAGATTGATTCACGAAACTTAATAGTAGTACTAGGATTAGGAGTGTAGGCTGGGATGAAACCACTGCATCTGGCCATACAGAGACAGCTGTACACCATCTCGTAGGGCTGGACTGAATGTTTTTTTTAATCATCGTCTTGTGAGTTTAATATCTCTGAAGCAATAGAGAAAACTATGGGAAAACTGAAAGCCACCTAAAGAAGCACATGTTCCAGTTGTTATTTTTACTTACAGGTAGTATTATATTGGTATCTAGAGAAAAAACAGCTTGAGGGAGGAAGAGGTGAGGTGACACTTAGTAAGCATCCATTAGGGAGCTGGTGTGTCCCAAAACTGAAGGGTTTCTTAGTTTGGTCATAGTTCCTGTGCACCAAAGCAGTAAGTTGTCAAAGCTGCCAATCCTGAAAAGACTGATTGTTTGTTTGTTTGTTTGTTTTCCTATGGGATGCCATAGGAACAGTCATGGTGTATTGCATCTAGGCTTGGTAATGCAGGAAAAACTAAAGACTCTAGAGAACAGGGCTGCTGTAGAGATACTGCAGCTGTTCTCATCTGCTGTAGTCCTCCTGAAAAAGAAAATGAGCTTGGTATTGTTGTTTTGTGCTGTACTTTATCTTATGCTGACTCCTTGTGTATTTCTTCTTCAGTCTTGATTTGCATGCTGCTTCTAGACTGTTAAACCAGGAAAAGCTTGGGTTGACCTACTTCAGCCTGTCTTACTCCCTAAGAGCATTTGGACCACTTGGGTTGTTCCAGCTATCAAAGAGAAATGGAAATGGATTCTCCTAAAAGAGCTCTGGACTAGGCTGTAGAGAAGGATGAGGTTGGCCTCTATCTTTACTTGGTCTCTTGTAGTACTGTAATGGCAAAAAAGTACTAGACTAATTTTAGGCTGTTTCTACTACTAAACTGCAAAGAGCAAGTGTATTTTTGACAGTGTTATGAACCATAGTTACCTGTTTACATGGTTGTTACTGATCTGTCAGCCAGATCAGTAACTAGTAGCTATATGGTCTTGTTCTTGGGAGAAACATGATAATAGGAAGATCTGTTGCTATCTAACATGATCCAAACATTGAAATGAAAACAAAGGAGATCAGTTTTATGTATAAATTGGGATTTCTTTTTGCTAAACCATGTAAATAGTCTGTTCATTTTGCCTCACTATAATAATATTTGGAAAAATATTACTGTTAACAATTTTCAATTTGTTTTCAATTCCTTAATCTGTAAAACATGTTTTAATGATTAATATGCTACTCATAAGGAAGCAGTATTAACGTGTAAATTGAAAGTTATCTAGCTGCACCTAAAACTGATACAGCAATACAGCCTGTTACATATTGACAGTGCATTTTAATTCAATGTGATTGTGAAGACTGAAATCTGTTTGCTAATCAGAGCTGTTTCTGAAGGAGATATTTTGAAAGAACAGATTTCAGAGTTGTAAATATGTATTTGTATATTTTACCCCTGCTAACCCTGTAATACTAGTGCAGCTAAATTGAGTGGCTGCTTCTTATCCCATCTGTTTGTCGTTAATAGACTCGTTTACTGAGCTCTGTTGGGTTGCACCTGCTTGACCTCTCTTGATGATCACGTCTCCTAATCATGAGTGCTTTGCAGCCTACATCAGTGCTGCACTTTGCAACTTCAGCTTAAGCATTTTCACAGCAATGAAATGTGATTACAAAAGCAGCTGAAAGGTAAATGGGTGAAGCCTGGAAGACAGCTCTGGAAATGGAGGGAGATTTCCAGAATCTAATTTTTGGTTTTGTAGCTCACTTATTCTGCGCATCTGAAACACATTTCATTATCTGAGTGAGATGATGTGGTTGCATTCCCTCAAACTCGAGAAGCTCCACTGAGAAAAAGAATGTCATATTTGGTGGTGTCATATTTATGCAGTCATTTTTGAAGCCTGCTGGTTGCCTTACAGAATGTCTTACCTACATAAGCTTGTTTTTATCTGAGTTAACCTAGGGATTCCCTATACTCATGAAGAAACCTGGGTAGCAGTGAAGTTACTAAAATACCATTTGTTTAATGCAGTGGCTTTGAATATTTTTTGATCCATGAGCTCAAAATTTTCCAGTGGAGGTGCATCCTTCCATGTGGTGAATGTAAGGCTCCTGCCCACAGGCATTATTATCTTACCTTTTGCTGACCCTCTTAGGACAAGTATAAGGATCGTCAGGAATCTGTGTGTTACAGGCTGGAAAAACATTGATCTGTGACGCTATCAAATGTCTTAAAACTTAGTCATGGGTAAGCCCATTTTGTTTTCTAAAGAGACATCTCAATAGAAATCTGAACAGGTCCAATGCTTCGATGACTGTACAATTCTGTTTTAGCAGTTGTCACATGTTTCTAAAATAAATAGAAAATGTAGCAAATATTCATTCTCAGCTCACCCTTTGATTTCTCTCTTCTGTTTGCTTGCTATTCATACTGAATTATATTGCTTTCCCTTAGCACTTTAATATATTTTGCCTCTTAGATATTTGAAACCACATATGTGCGCCGTGTATTTTTTTTTGCTTGGTGTTTAAAGAATATGCCATATTAGTAAGGATTTGGAGGAGACAAAGTAATAATTGGTTAAGAACACTAGGCATTTCTGGGCAGTCTTATATAAATAGTGTATAAAGTAGAAATGGTCAAAGAAATATCCGCAGAAAAATAATGTGAAAGTATAAGAAAGTAGGCATAGAGCCCAAAATGAATTCCAGTAACCGTTTTCCTGTTGCCTGTGCAAACATGAGTATTCTAGTGTTACAGCCTCATTAGGGGAAGTTTATGCTTGTTTAGTAACAACTTGTTTGAATAGATAACTGATATTCAAGACACCAGGGAAAATGAAGTATTGAGTAATGATAGTATGTCAATTCAGATGTTATTGTGAAGATAATGAAGAGATTTATGTTATTTTTATCTTTATTTGATTACAAGGGTTGGGGAATTTATATAGCTCTTGAAGAAAAGAAATATGTGGCCTTAGATGACCAGGCAGCCACCTGTGAAGACAAGACAACTGAGTTGTTCTCTTTGATTTTCCTCCACCTGGTCCTTTAGACAGTGGGAGGAAGCACGGACAAGGGATCTTTTGGTAAAAGCTCTGATGAAGCAAGAAGCAGAGTTGGAGGGGCCAAAATTGAGTGGAATGCACCACTTTTAGTGAGGGAGTGTTGTTAGAGGGAATTCCAGGTGGCCGCTCTGGCTGGGTACCCTTCACTGGGATTCAGAAAACTCTGCAGCTAAGAAGTCCCTGACATCTCCAGTGGGGAGCGTCTCTGATTTTAAGCACAGGAATACATCCTGAAATCCCAGCTTTGTTGAGAGCATGTTTGTCTTGTGCTTTTGTCCATGCACTGGGCTGTTGTAACTCAAACATTTTTAAATTACAACCTGGCATTTGGAAGCAAAGCACATTGATGGTGCTAATATTTTTTCTCATACCTAGACAGTAATAAATAGTCTTGATTAGTTCAAATGTTTGCCCTGTACATATTTAAAAAAAGAAACTAATCCCATTCTGTTTATAAATATTACACTTAAAAATGGGATTCTACTCAGAATTAGTATTTCTGAGTGGCATTTTGACTGTATATTGATCTTACTTACCACGTGGTGTTACTCATTCATTGTATGTGTGTTGTAAGGTGAAGAATGGGGAAGAGTCAGGAGAAGACTGCACAAGTTCATGGAAGAAAAATCCTTTGAGAGTACTGAGTAAGTAGACTTTTGGCTGAAGAAGTCCCCAAGCTGAAAATAAATGGAGGCCAAGAGAAGTACCTAGGAGAGGTAGCGTATGTGCTTGCCCCTTCGTGTACCTTTCATTTCCTATCTGCTCTTGGCCGCTGTTGGAGACAGGGTACTGACCTAGATGGATCTTTTTCTAACCCAGTATGACCACTCTTACTTCCTTATATTTGTATGGTGACAGAATGCCAATATTTGTAATCACAGCATCAATACACAGCAAATTATTTATGGCCTTATCTCAGATCTAAGCCTCTCGATAAAGCCGACAGTACAGAACAGAACGAATCTGAGGGAGGTTGTGCAGCCAAGTCCATTCATGGCTTTAGGGTTATTAGTGGAGAAGGGTGACTGTGCAAATGGAAGTCCCTAAAAATAACCAGTGTACATTAAAGCAATTGGAATGTGCTAAAAGGACTGGAATAATCAATAGAAAAGAACAAAACCAATGTAACTGACTGGAAACTTTTCATGAACCTAATTTCCAAAAAGCATGAAACAGAAAATAGGAAGCATCGAAGTGGTTGGTGGTTTGTAGAAACAACATGTGTAGGAAGAAAAATCAGAAAGACAGAGGAACCAAAATACAAGTCTCATAATGAAACTAAAAAACTAATATATGTTATAACTGCCTTCATTGTGATAAAGGAACCCAGGGAGAATTGGGACAGTAGATCAATTCCAGCTGAAGTAGCTAACTAAATCAAAACTCATCTCTCTGTTATTTGCTATTAAAAACTGAAAAACCTGGATTTCCTGGCCAGTTAGTTTAACTTCATCAGCACGTAACTTATTAACTTAATCAACTGTGTTGAGGGAACAAAATCTTAAGCAGGTGTCAGAGGGCAGTATGCTGAGAAGTAAAAGAAATCCTTAAGGAGTGGTGTGGGAAATGGAGCCTTGCAGCTGCTGCAGCCCCTGGGGAAGGTGCTGCGGCCACAAAACTCTCCAGACACAAGTACAGAGAAGGAAGGAAGCGATGATGGCTGGTTATAGGTAAGGGACAGAAAGGGGAACAATATTTTTCAGAGTCACCCCTTTTTGATGTAAACCTTGTGGTTGTTGATCCTCCGTATAGGGCCTAATACCAGCTTAGTGGTGTTGTCTATAGGGACGCACTGAAAGTGCTGAATTCAATACAGAGCATTGTTTACACCAGCAATTTGCACATTTGTACCATGGAGGTAACAGTGCTGCTTCGTATGTTGTGTGTCACTTTTGAACACTGGAATATTATTAGAAAGAGGAAAGATGAAAGAGAATCCAGGGAAGTGAAGATGGAAGTACTGGGAGACATGACCTCAGCTGAGGGGAAACTCAGGTAAATGTGCACTACTTGGGATTAAACCAGCAACGGGGCTGGATTTATAATTATTTGCAAATATTTGTGTCACAGCATTGAATAGCAGGGATCTTTTTTGCATCTATAGAAGAAAATAAAGGCTTCTTTGTTACTCTTCCATTAAAAAATTAGCCAGGTTGCGATTCACACCAATAGTTGCCCTTCCCCCATATAAAAAGGGAGCATTGCCACAGACTCGTGTCATGTCTCTGCATCTGAGTTGACTTCCTAGGTGCAATTAATGCATATTGTATTTTTGGCCATAATCCGAGTCAACTCTTGTCTTCTACAGCAGCATCTTTGCGTTGCAGGCACATACTGCTGGAGAAATAGAGGGATGCCACCATTTCATTCCACACAGCTACACAAGATGGTGGTAAGTTGTAGTCCCTGCTAGTACGGAATGAACTTCAACCAGAATTAGATAGAGACAAATGCTCCATTACTTCCTGCCAAATCCGTGCACAATTTATACTCTTTAGAGGTGTTTCCTCAGCCATAATGTCAGTGACAATGAACAATCTGTCCCCGGAGGAGGGGTTCATGCCAGCTCTCCTTGTTAGGAAGAACAGCCCCTATTCTTACGCCAGACACTTGCAGGGTTTCCATTCTGTTCCTCCAAAAATGATGTCTCAATCCAATATATTTCAGTAAAATTAAAAGGTGTGGTCCTATTTTTCTACTAAAGATGGTTTATAGATTTCCCAACTTGGCCAGCCTAAGGTGCATTCACTAGGAATAGAGAGTAAATTAGCTAAAATCTGGAAGGTCTAATGAAATGGAAAATAGTGTGTCATGCAAGGTTTAGATAGATGTCCAGAGCTCTCTTTCCATCCTATAATCAGTGCATAGTCAAAGTCACCTGGTCTTCAGGTCAACCATTTTCTAAGCTGTAAAGCCTGCATGAAGAGAAGGTGAAAAGAGTTATTTCTTCTTCCTCCTTGCGTTAGCAGCTTTCTCCCCATCCTCTGTGCTTTATTGCTCATTGGTCATTCGGTATGTTGGAGTTAATTAGTTGGAAAGGGAAGCTTGAATCAAAGATTGACAGGCCACAGAGAGGGGCAATGCATACTCAGTATGCAAAAGAAATGAATAGAGAAAAGGAAGGATTTTGTGGGTCACAGCCAAAGTCCAGGCTGAAAACTGTCAGCACACGATGGATTTTGTGCAAGAAAGTCCCTGAGGTATGCATACATTCAACCAGCTTGCTAGGAAGTGCAGGTTTAGTTGCCCCATAGTTTCTTCAAGTTGACACCCAACTGACAGTTACAAAAACTCAGTAGACTGTTAAAACAAAAACCAAACCAAAACAAAAAGAGCAAAAAACCCCAGACAGACATCAGAACTGACATGAAGAATGTTGGTGAGCACTAGTTTAATGGACAGTACCAGGACGTCCAGAGGCAGAAGGCAGAAGTCCTGTCGACTAGGCAGAGACGTCGATAATTTATCTATGCTGTCCTATTTGTGAAAAGAGGTGTCAGAGCAAAGAGCAGAATAGGAAATAAAAAAATGTGCGAGGACAGATCCTCAGTTGGTGTAAAATACCGTAACTTATTTGGATTGAATGGAGCAGTGATAGTTTTCAACAACTGAGGATACAATTCTCTATTTTCATGTAAACACTATCGCCTACGATGGTAAAGGACAGCACATGGGGATTCCTCCTCATGTTCCTCTGTTCTGGCAGCAAGAGCTGATAGACTCGGTCTCCTTGAGGCCACAGGCTGCTGTGGAGCAGGTGAATCTCCAGAGAGCTGAGCTGCTGCTCCTGCACCAGGAGGCACGTGGGACAGGCTGTCCCCCATGGGTTCTGCCCTTGCAGACCTCTCGGCAGCAGCAGTGACTGCTGGGTTACCCGCATCACCGTCTGTGTGAGCACAAGAAAGATGGTCAGCAGGCTCACACTGTTCTGAATTCTGAGATAAGTTTCTAAAAACACGGATAATAAAATGTGATAAAAATCCAGTTTTTATGCAAACAACAGAAAATAGCGGAGGTGGTGGGATGCAGCTGATATAAAGAATTATAGTTATTCATAGTAAGGATCAAGTTGTTATCTGTGGCAGCACCAGAAACATCAGCTGTCCTGGCTTCACACTCATTCCCACAGTCCACCTCTGTCTCTTTTTGAGCTGACAGTAATACTTTTTGTCGCCACATCCAATTTCTTCCCAGGGTGTTTTGACCTCATAACATTTCTGTCTGTGAAAGCTGTAGAGTTCATTCAATCCCCCAGCTCCAGGGCGTGTCCTGCATATCTGTGGGACCTCTGTAGGTGACAGGTACAAACTGGAGCAGAAAGGAAGGCTGGGCAGGGTTAGGAAGCGCAGGAGCTCCAGGAAGGTCTGGGGCTTAAGGGATCAGTGAACGGTGGCTACTGCAAGAGCAGTTACAACTGTTGCCACTCTTTTCTTCTCAGTAGAGTTTTGAAATGTGAGCAACCTGAATGAGTTCTCTACTAAACAAAAAGGAAAATCAAAAAGAATGGTGGTGGGCCTGGAGGTTCAGGTAGCTCCTAGCGTGAGGAAAGAAAAGATACAGAAAACTCCCCTAAACAGGGAGAGGAAAGCGCAGCAAGGTCTTGTGCAAGGGGAATATGGAGGCTCTGGCAAAAGCACAGGGGAGGTGGGACGTGGATTCTGCCATGGCTTCCAGCAGCAACAGCCTGGACCTCAGAGACAGGTACTGACAAGCATCTGGGTGGGACGCTTTTTTTGAGAAGGCTGCAAGGTACTGCTGAAGGGTAGAGGAAAATGGAGTCGAGATTCAAATTTTGGCTCTCAGAACGTATTAATTTTCATGTTTTATTACTTTTGAGCTTCCTTTGAATTTTTTCTTGGTCTCCTGCATTGTCTATGGCTGGCCCTGAATTTGGGAGCCCTAGTGTGTGCAATGAAGACAGCCTACACATGCCAAACAACATGCAGTCCCCTTGGTGTGTAATCGTCTCCCCAGCATCTGGGGACTGAGTCATCCTTGAGTCAGAGCAACCATATTTGGTTAAAACTGTATTTTGCTGTTGTAATCCATGGCATGCTGTTTGGTACTGCTAACTTGTTTGTGTCATCTGCCCAATGAATTACTGGCTGGAAGTTTCTCTTTCAATACAAATATTCCTTGCCAGCCACTGTGGGTTTTATGTGTGGGGTTTGGGGTTTTTTGTTTTGGTAACAATCTAGGTCCTTTAGCGCTGCCATATAATCTTTCCTTCGCCCATGTGGTGCAGCACGTGGGGAGAGCGAGCCGTTCCCGCGGTAGCCAGCTGCAGATTACAAGGTGCTCTGAGACACAGGGGTGCTCGGCTGTGCAAAGGTCGAAGACATAATGATAAAATACAGGCAGATTTCAATTAATGATCTTGCAAAGCTCCTGAAACCAAAAGACAAAAAGAGAAAAATGCATTTAATGTCTGGAGGATTTTGTCAATCTTTAATTAAGATACCTGAGATAAAGTTCACCCTTGCAAGACAAGACAGCGGAATGGGCACCTTGTGAATAAAGAGCTGTGTGAGAGCAAAGGGCACCTGGGCTCGCAGCAGTATGATTCAGCACTGGAGGTTTCACTTCAAGCGCAGGACAGCTGGAGGAGAGCAATGCTTTGGGCTGCTCCTGCTCCTGGGCTTTTAGTTGCATTATTATTACTTACTGGATTGAGCTGTGAATCAAACCACTATGAAAAAAAGAGGCAGAAAAGAACCATTTATGACGAGCAGTAAGTACCATTGCTTGCAAATGCATTTGTTCATATGGTGGCTTCTAAGTGCCAGTAATGGGAACCGAATGGCTTTACTGCAGCTCTTTTTTACATACTCTTTGGCAGATATGTGTAACTAAATCATCTCTTTGTTTTTTCTGTAATACAACAGGCCTCGTTTGTCCTCAGAGCAGGGTAATTTAGTGTTCCATGCTGGCTCCAGCAAAAATATTGAATTTAGAACTGGACCACTGGGGAAAATAAAAATTAATGAAGAAGACCTTGCAGAACTTTTTAGTCAGGTGATATAGTTACTTTTCCTTAATATTTTTTCATTTTCGGTTTTGCACATTAATAGTTTAATTGTCTTCAGAATTTGTCTTAGCAAATGTTTGATGTGTTTTGTATGATTGTTATTTTATACTATCTGTCAGCACTCTAATATGAAAGTAAGCTATTGCAGACTTGTAAAGTAATCATGCCATTGCAGAAAATAATTAAAAGATTAAATTGTGTATGTAACAGAGCCCTCTGTATTTAAGTGGACTTCATAATAGTAAAGTTAAGCAAGAACAAAACTTTTCTGAGCTTTTGAAAAAGCAAAGCTTGTTTACATTTGTAAGCTTTTGAAAAAGCCAAGCTTGTTTCACATTATCTCTGTTGTTTAAATTTAGGTGAGAGAAAGTAACGCAGAGATTCAAGAACTTAAAAAAGCCAATGGTGCCTCTCAGAACGTGTCCCAGCAAGTTGCTCTGCTGACCTCCAAGGTGAGCCATACCCTTGTGTTATCCTTGTCCAGCGTTCCCAGTTTTCCATTCCTCAGATTAACATCGTTACCTGATTCGTTTTAGTATTTCTGGACTCCAGTTCAGGGAACTGGGGCAGAGTCCATGTTTAACACCAGCTCAGAGTCTATGTTTAATGTTGAGATACTTATTCAGTAACTCTGGAGACAATGGAAATATTCCTGTAATCCCATAATTTCCAGTTACCAGGATTCTTCTTTTGTTCGCTGTCAACATCTCCATGAGCTATATCCTCAAATATTTATGGAAGTGAAATCCCACTAAATTCAGGAAATGGACCATATATGTTCTTACAGCTGTTACACAGACATTCCATTCCATAGGTGAAATGGGCTATAGGGGTTTGCAGTAGAAAGAAAAGACCTATGCAGTAGTTTTGTCTCTTCCCTGCTACTGAAGATTTTTCTCCAACATAAGATTTTGAAACCTTTGTCTGACTTGGTTTAAGTGTCTTTTGTTACAGTGTTGCCAGAAGTTCCTTATAGGAAAATATTTTATAGGCTAAGAGACCTCCCTTTAGGGAAATTGTGCTAATACATATCCATCATATTCCCTGATTCAGTTTCAGCTTGCTGTTTGTGGTTATAACCCACTGAGATATGGTGAATCTTTTCTTGGCTTTTGGTGTACTGTCTCAGACCTCCGTCCTTCGCATGCACGCGAGCACCCGAACAGTCTGGCTGGAATATTCACATTCTCAATGTTGAGCACCTGAATACATCTTCAGGAGACTGAATCTTGCTTTTTGGAGCCAAACTGGGACATACTTAAGCTGTCATTTTCTGAACAGCCTAAACCACCAAGATCCCAGTGAATGGGGCCAGTGAATGATTGTCACCTGGTTTCACATACCAGCTATTCTCTTTTCTCAAAAGAAAATACTTTGTTAGCCTACTGGCATCCAGCACGTACCTCTGTGGCCACTCTCATACCAAGCACAACGTAATTTGCATTTCTCTTGCAGATCGTGAGTCTTGACAACAAACTTCAAAGCCTAGAGCAGGTGAGTAAATGGGAAGCAAACTAGACATCAAAAAAGAAAAACCCAGCCCCAAGTAAGTAAAGTGAGGTTACAATGATTAAATAGCTAAATGATTCCTTTCCTCTCATGCATTACTCAGGAAAACTTTTTTTGGTAACAGGAGGTAAAAAAAGCCAAGATTTATGGAGAAGATGAAATGCCTTCTCACAAAATATAAACTGTGTAGGAGCCTGCATTCCTTAAAGGAAAAACAGTTGTAGACTCAAGAACAACAACTAGATACCAAGGAGAAGTAAACTTTTCCTTCACTAATTTGTCAAGACGAAGACTGGAGAATTCGAACTGGATTTTATATTGTACTGGAAATAGCTAGTTTTCAACTGTCACCTGCTTCTCCACTGAGCTTGTGACAAGCCACAGCTAGAGCTGCCAGTAAAAGCAGTTGTCAGATGAGTTACCCATGGAACTGAGAAGACAAGATAACCCTCCATCTAGACTCACAGTCTGCTGCTGAAGAACAGTCTCTATTAATACTTACTTCTTACAGGGCTTTTCTCACCCAGTGCTTGCAGCTGGCCATCCTGTGTAAGACCAATCATATTAGTCATTATTTTGTACAGGGATAAGCGAAACAGCTCAAAACCTTTACAAACCAACCTTGCTGAAAAAAGGGGGGAGGGGAACCCAAGAAAGAATGAAAAAAAAAAAAGAAAAAAAAAAGTTTGTCTTGAAAATAAATGCTAATGGAACACCAGGTAAGCAGGAACCTAATTTTCTGCTCATTTTCTGGGTTTCAGGCTATCCAGAGGAAAGCGTGCAGTAGTAACCCCTGTGAGAACTCAGGGACCTGTGTAAACTCGATGGATGGTTTCTTTTGCCTCTGTCCCAGCAACTGGCAGGTGAGTCTTTAGCCACCTTGAATACAGAGCGTGTATTTTAACTGGAAGGATACACCTGGCCTAGTGCAATTGTGATGAAGTGTAGCATTTTAAGGTTGCCCAGGACAGAGTGAGATATACTGAACAGCAAAGCAACAGTATCACACTCATCGTTTGGTTGAAGGGCAACACATTTGCTTCTCAGCAATATCAATATATACCAAAAAACCAAAGCCCAAACCATTGGGCCGGACCCTGCACTGTTATACGCGGGCAATGGCCCATGAAGTCAGTGATGCTTGGCAGTTCCCACAGCAGAGAATTAGTCTTTGGTTTTTTGCTGAGCAGTGAACTGCACTGCATGCCTTGCTGTTGATCTTACGCAACGATAGAGAGAGAATGGGGGAAGGGAAGGATATTTATTCAAGCTCAAACAGATAAGACAAATGGGGGTATAAGTAATCAATCCCATTCTGGGTTTTTTAAATCCAAAGACTTTACTTGCAAAGGCTTTAATGGTGCTGTTACAGGCTCTAGAGATGGAGAAGTTGTATCTTTTTCTCAAAGGCTCTCATCTTGAAAGTAGTCCCGGCAAGATTTGGGTCAAAACTGCTGTGCTTTCAGTCTTGATAAAACAGCATCGCCTGATAGAAAGAGTTTGAAAGAAAGTTTTCTGACCCTTTTGCTAGCAAGTTGGAAAGTAGGGAGGATGACTATGCTTTCCATATGCTTTCTACAAACATCTGAAATATTTTATCCCCCATCTGACTGATAACCAGGGTCACAGAAACACAGCTGAAAAACAGAGTTTTGTTATAATGTTTCATAAGGGAAGCTGTGTTGATAGCAGCCCATGGTTTGTATATCTTTGGAAACTATATTAAACATTGGCTCCATGGTTTGCTTCATTTCTCAGTTATTTGGAAAATAAACTGGTTTTCCATTTCATCTTAGGGCCTCCTGTGTTCAGTGGATGTTAATGAATGCCAGATTTATGCTGGAACAGCGTTAGGCTGCCAGAATGGAGCCACTTGTGTGAACACACCAGGCAGCTACAGGTAACTTTTCAAAACTGGACACAAAAATCCTATATAAAATACTCTGCTATTTTTGTACCCCGTATCACACCTCCAGTACAAGTTCTAGGAATAAGTCTGTTTAGTATCTATGCACTATAATCCCTTGCAGTCTGAGAGAATATAAAATCCTTAATACACCGTACACTGAGCCCACCACAGACACAGAAGGCCCTCCAAAGCCATTGCCTGCTTTGACACAAGAAGAGCAGCGAGAACCCGATTTATCACACAGCCATGCTGGGGAAGAAGGCTGCAAATTGGAGACTGGCTCCAGTGACCCGGCCTCTGTTGTAGGTGCAGATGCTTTAATGGAAATTTACTGCACCTTGGGATGTAGATGGGGCGGTGAGATGCGGCATGCTGGTCTGTAACCGGCACTCGCCAACGTGCCCACCTAGCACAGCCACGTTATCAGCCCTCCGTTATCACCTACCCCTTGAGACCAAAGGGAGTGAGGAGGTGAAGGAGGTGAACAGCTTTGGCCCAGCAAAGGCTTTGAGTTGTTGGAAACCTCCTGAATATATGGGCACCCTTGATGGGCACACTGGCATTCCCAGCCTACTGCATAACTCTGAGAAATGCCTTCACCCCCTCCAGAAATACAGGCACGGCTGAGCCTGCAGCAGAGCAGGCAATGCACAGGGCTGCCGGGCAGAAAGGGAGGAGAAGTGCTGTCTGCAGGCGGCTGGCCAGGAGGGTGCCAGGGCTGCCTGTGTGCGGGCCCCCATAGACTTGAGGTCCCTGGAGCATATCCTTCTCCGGCGGTGCCCAGCTCCTTAGGAAACATGCTCTTGTTTACAGGGCAAGCCAGCCTGAACGTTCTGTGTCTTATTTTCCAAAATGTCAAACAATCTGGTAAATAAATAACTTTCAGATATAATACAAAGCTATCCCTGTGCAATGGGAACAAGCAGGCTGGAAAGCATGCCACAGCTTTCTGCAAAGAATTATGTCCCTTGTTTCAGCATGAAAATCTTAGCCCCCACAAATATTTGCTCAGCGTAACACTGGCTTATAGTGCTTAGTCAGTTCTTGGAAGAGCCTCAGACAAGGGAAGTTCTTCCGCAGTGCTCCTCACACTTCAGCATTAACACAGAGCCTGCCGAGGTGTCACTGGTACGTGATGCTTCCTGTCAGCTTTTCTTTGATTTTAAAGGATGTTTCTAGCTTGCCTGCAGCTGCCCCAATACAGACATTTGTCAAGGAAACCTCACACAAAGCAGCCTGCCTTTACTTGTTTCTTACTGTGCTCAGAGATGTGGTGTACAGGTGTGTGACTAAATTAAGGTTTGAGAGGACAAACGCTCTGCCTTTCTCTCAAGTGCTGTCATTGTGCTAGTACAGTCACGATTCCTGTAAGTTTCTTCCCCAATGTAATTCTTGTCCTCCTTGGTACTTGCTGAATCAGTGCTTCCTAAAATGAACTAAGACCTCTTCATAAGTCATCCAAATCTTAATATTACTGCTTTTGCATTATGCCCTCAGGACTATTGTTTAGTCCTTTCCTCAACCCCATTGTACTGTCTCACAGTCTCCCTTCATGTACTGTCTTACTTATTTCTGAGTGCTCCCCAGATGCTAAATCCATCCCCAGATAGAACGTGACATAGCTCTTTTCAACAGCTGTGAGAACACGGCTGCTAAATTTTCTGGGACCTGGCAACCTAGGTCACCCCACTCCTGCTCTGGTGTAGGTATATACACCAGTGTGGACTGTGGGGAAAGAAAAGGGTGATATTTAACTTTCCATGGGCCCCCAGAGATAACACCAGATGAAGGGCAGTACTGGGTTAGGTACCGTGAAATGGAGCATAACGCAGTCTTCAGTCCCTGTTCAGATTCTTTACCTGCATGCTTCAAGCTATAATTTGGGAAAGCACAGAAGTATGAGGAAAAAGAGCAGGTATCCAGGAAACACCTTCCTGAATCAGGACTTTAGTGGGACATTGCATCAGTTGGATGAAAGGCTGTGAGGGTCCCCAGGTCTGTCAGACTTTTGTGTCAGGACCAAAATAACGGGGGCCTTATCGCAACATGCCGTCAGCAAAGGGAGAGAACCAGGGCAGTGCTGAGCAGCAGTGCATTGCAATTTGGCTGAAGCTCCTTGCAGTGTGACCTACTTCTTGAAGCTGTTCTTTGAGCAACTTCAGATGGGTAGCAAATTAATCTTTGCCAGACTAGGCAGGAGACAGTGCCATTGTCCTCCTCCTTTGGAGCCGGCCATATTGCCTTGCTGTGTCCTTTGGAGTTGAACGTGAAGCTCTGAATGTACTTTGAACATATAAAGGTGATCTGGTTCCCTGACCCTGTTGCTCTGTGCTTGCCCAGGTTGGGCTACTGCACTGGCAAGATGGCATTGGTCTATCTGCTGTCTCTTACAATAATGAACACGCTGTCTTACAGTATTGCAGACTGCAGATAAGCATTAAGCTGTTGTGGGTTTTTTAAGCCTAAGTTCATGTGGGTTGCTTGTCCTGGATGCAGCGTTTAGTTACCTGCAATTGGCTTATCAGACTGCTATTTCAACTGAGCATGTGACACTGTGGCAGGGACAGTAGCAGCTTATTAATAAATTGCTCCAAGGTCCAGATCAGCTGCACTGGAGTACCCTGATTCAAATTCTGCAGATAAATGCTTTTATAGAGTATTTTTTGTTAGCCAGCTTAAAAGCAATCCAAGAAGGGTGTGTACCTGCCGTATGTCTCTGTGAGGAGCAGACATCAGCAGACATCGCAGCATATAACTTGCATCCAAATAAGTGTCTCACTGTCATCTTAATAAAAAGCTAGTGATCTGATAGGAGGCTTTCTGTACGTTTAGGTCCCTTTCAGTTTTAGGTCCCTTTCATTTCAGAGCCTCAGGTTTGACCTATGTGGAAATAAAGGGCCAGAGAAAAGGAAAACATTACCCGATGGCTTAGGAGGTCCCAATTTCAGTTCCACTGCATATGTACGGTGCTGTGACTAATGTGTGCCCTATAAATAATGACGTGATGCAGCTGGCAGCTTGCAAGCCAGATCTCCTCTGTAGAATGCCTTCCTTCAGCCCACTACTCTGTTCTTCCACCCCAGCAGCCCCAAATGCCTCCTGCCCACCGCACTTACTTGAAAGCTGGGCTGCTGCTGAGACAGCAGCTGCCATGTGTTGAGGTGTGGGCGTGAAGGTATCCTGCTCCGTATTGCTAGAGGTAGGGTTTTAGGCACTTGGCATCATATGAGTGTCATAAACTGAAACAAAAAGTTTAGGTGCTCTCTGACCGAAGTGGGATTTCCAGGCTCATGTTCTATTGAAATCTCATGTTAGACATTTCTTTTTTTCTGGATTTGCACTTACGAATGTAACAAAAGGCTGTGGGTTCTCCCATAGGGTCAGACAGTCATGGATATGCACAAGTCCCATGTGATTCTTGAGTCTCTGCTGAACAAGAGCCTTGCCTCTGTGCATGATTATTAATGGGATTGTCAGTATAGCTAAATAGATTTCATAAGGAACACCATATAAATAAAAGAATGGGGAATGGTCTCTTGCTATGGCAATGTGTGATCTTTAAGCTATATAAAGACAACATTTTGGTTTTTCTGTCTGCTTTCACAATTAGCTGCTCCTGTACTCCAGAAACCTACGGGCCTCGCTGTGCCTCGAAGTTTGATGACTGCCAGAGAGGATCTGAGATGCTCTGTGGGCATGGCACCTGCATAGGTGCAGAGAGGGATCAGCCCAACAAGGTAAGGAACAATGTATAAGTCTCATTATATGACACAGCATGAATAAGCAACAAATAATGCTGAGCACCACAAAACTGTGTAGCACACACTGCTGCTGAAAAACAGCAAGAAATGCCACTGTTCAACATAACCTACCCTCTCTGTTGTCCCAAGGACAGCAGAAAAAATTGAAAATGCCTTGTGTCTTGTTAGAGGTACTTGTGACAGTATCACATCTACTACATCCATAGGGAGCTTGGGAATATTCTTTGAATAAGTGAAAGTCTTATTTGAAGCATAATATTCTTACTGTTCATTATCTGGGGAGTTCTAAGTTGCTAGAATATTTTATTACTTAAATGATTAAGAAGGACAAAAGTCATGAATCTTGTTTTTTCTGGGAAAAGGCATACCTGTGGAACATTATTGTCAGTGGCCTGGGAGCTGCCCGGGCTGCATAGCGGCTGGGTGGCTGCTGCTCATCTTTGGTGCTCCTCACTGTCAGTTGGACTTGGTCTCAGACTCCAGGCCCAAGCTCTCCAAGCATCTGCACTGGGTGGATGCTAGCATGCACTTGAACGGTCTTCTGGAGCAAGCCAGCTCATTCTTTTTGGGAGAGAATCTGGGTACAGGGTGTTCACTCCAAAGGGATGTATGGAACATTCCAGCTTTGGCTCTTTCCACTCAGAGCAACCCTCCAAAACTACCCTGCCAAGCCTGTGCTCCTTAACACTCCTATACACCCATGCACCATTCCAGACACACCACATATTCTTCGTGCTATGCTATAAAATAATTTCTTTACTCAATTTGTAAAAGTTTTCACAGCTCATCACTTGTTTTCTGCCCATTTTTTGTGGAGAAAGCTTTTCAAAAGGGATCAGTGTTGGCTTAAAAGTGTCTGCTCCTGTGACAGTCAACAATAAAGCTCCCATTAGCTTTAATTGGACCAAAGCTAGATAAATGCTGAAATCTGGCCATTAGTAAAGTTTACTAGAGAGAAAACTGTTTTCCTCAAAGAAAACGTATATTTGCAATTTAATGTCAGCGCTGCACATTGGACAGACTACTGAACAGTTTGCTTAAAAGAAAACAGCCAAGCTGATTTCAGGTTGCTTACACTGATCTGTTTACCTTGGTTACAAAGCAAGTTGATGACTTTTAATTATGTTTATGCACAGCTCATAATTGCTGTTCATTTTCTCTGGGAACTTCGGGGTAAATGACAGGTTTCTTTTTATGAATGTAATGAATGAGCCTGTTGTTGTTTCCATAATCTAAATAGGTAAATTCAGAGGAAGAAGTAGACTGAGAAAACTACCGAAGCAACTTATAAAACAGAATGTGCAAACCGTGTAATGCTCTGAAAGCTTTCTTGCTACAGTTTGAAAGACATTTTATAAAATGAGCTCCTCCTGCCCTTTTCTTGACTGTTCTAACTGTCTTAAATGTGTAATGTGATGTTTGCTGTGGCAGCCCAAGTACCGCTGTATCTGTGACATTGGCTGGATGTCCCCTCCTGGCAGCCCTGCCTGCAGTGCTGATATAGATGAATGCAGCCTCCCTAATCGTCCGTGTTCACAGAATCCGCTTGTGCAGTGCCACAACACACCAGGCTCCTACTTATGTGGTCCCTGCCCCACAGGTATCACATCCTTCCACGCTCTCAGGTGGGAGGGGGTGGCAGTAGGTAGTACTGCCTGTATGTCATAAGCACAGACACAGGATCCAGATGACAGTAACTCCATGAAATGCTTTGGTCTGTATTCTAGAGAATAAATTCCTGCATGTTACGTCTTATCTAGATAACGCAGGCAGTGGAGTCTAACGCATGATTTATCCTATCCTAAACTGAGCATCTAAATAGGTCTGATGTACCCTCATGTCCATAGGTACCTTCATGTCCATCATGTCCTATTACCTTCATGTAATAGGTCCGAGGTACTTTCATATCCTTATGCTCACTGCCCTAAGGCAATATAAAAATCTAATTGTCCCCTCAAGCCATAGAACCTATGATTCCTCTTCCTGAGTTAGGTAGGTTTTGTGTATAGGAGGAGTATTTGAAGTATTTAACCAGAGTTATGATAAAGCTTTGCTGCAAATTATACATGTGTGCACTAGACCAGAACTGCCTCCTCTTTAGGTTAGAGTGTGTTTGATTCTGGAATATCCAGAATACAGTTAAAATAAAATGTTCTTGCACACACATCTCCACCCTGTTGTGTTTGTAACCTATTTTGCAGACCAGTATTAATTTTCATCAATTATGAGAGGGACAGGACTTCTTTTTTGTTAATGAAGTGAAATTCAAAAGTCATGTTTTTCTGCTCTATGAAAAGATCTGGTCAAAGAAGAAAATGAAAAGGCCAGCCATTTTCCATTTTAATGTCTTTCCTGTGCTGCTTCTTAGGCTGGCAAGGAAATGGCTACAGTTGCCAAGACATTGATGAATGTGAAAGTAATAACGGAGGTTGCTCAACAGCGCCCATAGTTCGATGTATCAACACAATGGGATCCTTCCACTGTGGGCTCTGTCCACCAGGTAAAATGGATTTTTTGTTGATAAAACTATGGAAAGGCTTAAAAGATGAAGGTTCAACACATTTGAGGCTGTTTTATGGTAGACTTAAGAAGCTGAAGATTGGCTTTATATAAAGAAGTATCACAAAGCAGTACTATAATATAGAATGCGGGGTCCAAGTCTATTCAAATTACTTCAGCTATTAATGAACATTTTGTAGGGTATGTCTCTAATGATGATCCTCTGAAATGTGTTTCTCTTGTACCAGGTAGCCCTTTTCAGTGTTAAGAGCCTTGATTTGATGAAGTACTTCCTTTATAAGATCATTAATGGAGAACAAGGATAGCGTAATTATGATAGTAATTTCATTGTCGGTATTAATTGAAAGAGTATCCTGTGTGCCATATATCAGCTGTATTGTCTGTCTTAAAAAAAGCCTTGATAATTGTCACGCTCTGAATGCTGTCTAAGAAGGCAGTGTTTCCACTGGAGTACAGGTCAAGCAGCAGAAGTCGTGACTTACATCTTTATAATTTGTGGTTTATGATTTAAAATGCTTTCTGAAAAGCATGCTATCAATACTAGAAAAACTAGCAGGAAAAAGTGTTTCTAATTTTGACCTTTTAATTGTGATTTAAATGGCAATAGACTACAGTTACTGAGCGCTGAAGGGCTATCACCATGCTGAAAACGTGGCCTCAGACAAGTTTTGATGTGGTGCAGTGGACCTCAGCTCTGGCTGTGCAGAGTCATGCTGCAGTGCTTTGGTCCTGCTGAGCCTCCTGAGAGGAGCTGGATGTTGTGTTTGAGACCCAAGGGCAGCTCTGGTGTGCAGCGGGAAGCCTGGAGGTGGTCGGGGCGGGCTGGCTGCAGACTTGTAGGGAGGGCAGCACATGGTGGCCGAGAGAGCTGAGCTTCCATGGCCTCACTGGCCTCACCTATATTTGGCTAGCACTAATATACCTTTTTTCTAAAATCATGGGAGGATTTAGTTACAATCAGAATCCATCCCTGCAATGTAGGAACCACAATAAATATGCCAGGTTCTACTTCAGCGGTTATCTCAACTTTTTCTTTTTAACTGCAGAAGACTGATTTTACACCATAAAAGAGTCTTTTTCTCACCAGTTGATTGTTTTGCTGTTGATTCTCACAGAACATAATTTGTTACAGACTAACTGAGATTTACCTCTGAACAGGTTATGAGGGAGATGGACAAACATGTACGCAGGTTGATATCTGCTCAATAAATAACGGAGGGTGCCATCCTTTGGCTACTTGTACCTCAGCTCCAGGTACGATGCTCTCTTAAGGACTGTAAGTAATACCAGTGTGAATCTCAAAGAAGGGTTTCGTTAGACTGAACCCACTTTGTAGCAACATATTTAGATTGCAGCCCCTTCTCCACAGTCAGTTTTGCCTCGCTCAAAGGAGTTTAGAGGCAGGTTAGCTGAAGCCAGGAGGCCTTTCCACAAACACTGACAGAAATAGATTTAGGCTCCACCAAAGAGCAGATTTCATCGTAAAAATGTGGAGATCTTCACCATTTCTCTTTGATGCGGTTTTCCAATTTCATCTGCTTTTACTATTTTTCTTCGTTTTCATACTTCTCCTTTGACTACTCCCACCACTTCCCACGAAGGTGACCTTGGACTCTCAGGTACCCATAGCAAAGCAACACTAGGGATCTTTCCATGGTCAGACTGGACACTGACCAGGGAAGGTATCAAAAGATCAAATAAGTTAGAATTATATAAAGGCTCTGCTTCAAAATGTCAAGGACCTTTGCTGTCATTGGTATTGTCATTGTAACAAGGACCGAATTACTTTCTGTATCTTGTCTCATCTCCCAAGGGCCAATGCCGTTTTGTTCCTGCACATCTGGGTACACTGGAAGTGGATATGGGCCAAACGGGTGCTCTCCTCTCAGTGATATTTGTCAGCTGCAAAATCCTTGTGCAAATGGGCAGTGCTTGGTAAGTGCTGGCCTCCTCACAGTTAGTGACAACGTTTTGTGGTTATAACCAGTAACAACAGCGAGGCTGGTGAGACTGAAAGCTGAGTGCAGACATACTAAAGGTAATGAGGCAAGGTCAGCGGGGAGTGGGAGATCAACAGATATACCTGGGGAAAGCAAGGAGAGTTTCAGGGCACACAAGCCATTTCTTTGTGTTTGAAGTAGAGGCAGCAATCTTGGCACTAATAACCTGAGAGGTTGTAGCTGATACCCCCGGCTAGCGATGGGATGCTGGTGCTGGTGGGGGAGAACTGATGAATGGCTGTCCCCAGTGGGACAGTAATTCACCACCTTGGATCATGGAGGAGTTACCCATGATAACAAAATCGGTATCTCTGCTGACCTTCAGACTGTTAATACCCAGTACAGTTAGTTATGTGTTCCTAGGCTGATCTTGTGAGAGTCCCCGTGGAGTCTCAGGCTGTTTATATGAATATGCCCAGATCTAATCTACTTTTTCTGACTATTTAGAAACTATTTATTTTAGTCAGTCTATTAAAGATACGACGTCTTCCCCTAAATATATCCTCATATACAACTGTAGGCGATCATGGCTACAAACTACTACCTAAAGTTAATAACACAGTCAGATACTTCAGTAATGGGACTACAAAAGCATCTTATAAAATAGAGGAAGAGCAGAGCTATATTTGGCCAGCTGTATTTGAAAGAGGACATACAAAATTGAAACAGTTAGAGATATGGAAAGACTTGATTATAAGGAGAAGTGGTAAAGGTTGAGACAAAAGAAATGGAAAAGAGACATACAGAATAAGGAATAATGCAGAGAAGGCGATGAATTTTTTTCCATTTAACATCCCTCAGGGTGAAAATGAAAGTTGACAGTCCACATAACTGCAGTGGAGACTTCCCAAAGAACAGGCTTGAGAGAAACGATTTATAAACCACTGTTATCTTGACTTTCTATTTACAAGGTTTAGGTAATATGACTGACTTGTTTCTAGGGTGATCATTTCAAAGCCAAGCAAACAGTTTTCTGAATGGCTAAATGAATACAGATTTTTACTTTTTAGAAAGTAATTTGAAAGAACCCTGCAAAGAAATAACTTAATAGAAAAAGCAAAGAGCTAGATAATCTGATTAGGCTTTAGGTTTATTTTGGTATTCACCAGTGACCGTCAAGGCCATTAAATTCCAAAGCTTTTATTTCTTTGCTCTGGTATCTCCACATAAAATGAATGTAAATATCAGTCTTTCTGCCGGCTACATTGGTTCCTTTAGTGATCCATGCTCATTAAGTTTATTGCATTTGCTTATACCTGTAGGCAATGATCTCTGGATACTTCTGCCTGTGTAATGCGGGCTGGACAGGCCCTAACTGTACGGAGAACATTGATGAATGCATTAGCAACCCGTGCCAGAACGGGGGGAGCTGCACCGATGGGGTCAACGGCTACTCCTGTGAGTGCACCAGCGCCTGGACAGGACCACAGTGCCAGACTGCCCAGCAAGGTACAGCCAGGACCTCCTCCCAGGAGAAATGGGCCACCAGGCTTCAGCGAGTAGATGCTTGGTGTATATGATTAATATGTGAATAAGAACCAAGTTATGATGGAAAAAAACAGGCCTGTTCTCGGTGGATTACAGGTCTCAATCCAAAGTCCCTTGAAGTCAGAGTTTTCCAAGAGTTTTGTTTATAGCTGCTTTGTTTTAGCAGTAGGAGCGTAACAATGAAGTTGATCTGCAGGCCCACTGGCCTTGACTAGACGCCAGACATCCTAAAATCAGATCTCTGTTCCTGAGAAAGTGGTCTCGTAAGCTGGTTGGGAAAGAGGATCCAATATAAGGAGAACAGATTTACAAGAGAATATATTAATGTTTCTCTTTTTTGCATACTATTTCATTTGTTGCGAAGCTGAGAGGTCCTGACATTTTTAGTCAAGACAAAAAGCCAAAAAAGGTTTTCAAACAGAAATTTAATGAAAGAAATGTTATCCATGAAAATGGGGGACTCTGAGTTTTATAGACCTTGGTCTTGCCTTTAACATTTCTTCTTAATATCAATTTTTCTGTTTGTTTGGGATTTTTTTGCCATTAATTTTAATTAAACAAGGTCAGGATAGCATTCCAGTCAGCGTCCCTGTGGCAACCATCTGTCAGATGGCTCATATTTATTGCAGGTTGCTGTGAAGAAAACAGATTAACTTATCACAGAATACTTTCAGTTTTACTATCAGTAAAACTTTCACTGACCCCCTGTGAAATCTGCTCTATTTTAGAGCTACTTCAGGCTCTTTCCTATTTTCCTTAAATATCCTTAAAACCAGTAATGTTTTATTATTAAGCACATGTGGAAAAAAAAATTATTTTTAACCATGCATAATAGAAGGGACAGAAAGCCAGTTTTTATTCAGTGAGAAATTATAATGTATCAACTTCTGTTTTAGTTCCTAATCAAGGGAAAAAAAATACATTTTATGACATGATAATTCTGAATCTGGTTGAGAAATGGTGAGATGTTTTAGATGGACACTTCAAACAAAATTATATTCTTTTTACCACTCTGTGAAACAAAATACTTCAGTTTGCTGAGAACTGAGTATTTCTTTAGCATCAGTTCTATGTTGAACTACAGCTGCTTGTTGTACACTGTAGCTATATGTGCATTGTAATTTGGGTGCTTTATGGACATATTTTTCTGTAGCTGTTCAGGATTCCTAGTTCACAGCTCCCATTCATTGAATGGCTCAGTGAGAGAAGAGACCACAGTATATCATGAGAGGTAATATTAGGCCCAGAAATCCAACCAAAAAGAATAAATAGGACAATAAAACATTTGAAAGATAACTTCTATGATGCACCACTACTGAGAAAGACAATTTTACATCATGTTAGCTTCAAAATGTTATTTCATTGTAGGTGAAAAATTTAAACATTCAATTTGGAGGTAGCCTTCTGGAAACAAACTACTTTATGGACATTTTCCTGAGGCAGAATCAACATCTTTTGGCAGTGTCCACATATTCCAGCTGAAAATCTTTGTTCTTTTTCCAGGAACTACTTTTCTCTCAGGGAGTAATTTTGCTCATTTTTTGTGATGTTATTCCACTTCAGAAGAAATCCTGAAGACTCTTTTATAGAAGTATCTTTTACCCTTGTTTTAAATGTTTAGGAAGCCAAAGCTATGCAAAAAAAGTTATGTTTTGTTTAAGTCTGTATAGAGATAGCACAAATTAATCTATGTAATTTTCTCTCTCTGCAGCTTGTGGAGGATACCTCTCAGGCTCCAGGGGGACTTTCAGTTACCCTAACAATCCAAACAGCCAGCGGTACAACAGCAGGGTCAGCTGCGCTTGGGTTATTCAAACTAATCCCAACAAGGTAAAATAGACTTCAGGTTAAAGAAACCCTCACTCTGCAGGACCCCTCAGCTCATCAGAGCAAATGTGACCATCTTCATGCCACATATCCCAATATTGTGATCCAATCCCCTCAGAATAAATAGTTTTTCAAAAAGAGTAAGTTTCAGATCCTTACAAGCCTTAGGCTCCTTAGCCTAAGAATTTGCCTGGGTTATGTTTTTAAGGTTTTTCCTGTGCAGCTGAGGGTTAGAATTTATTCACCTACCACCAGCTAGAGAAGGTGCCTGTTTTACATTGCTTTAGAATGTGATCTGTGAATAGCTGCATGAGAAAAGCTCTGCTTTGATGGGCTCCACAATTGGTTCGTAAGCTAAGTGACCCCAGAACAATTTCATGTTTCTAATTTCTGAGCGCAAGAAATGTGGAATACTGAATTCATATGGTCAATATGAATTGCGGCTTTGTGTAATAATCGCATTTTAATTTTTTTAAGGATTAATTTTTAAATGTTGCACTCAAATGTATATTCTGATCTGCAACTAACAATTCCACTTGTTTTATAAATAACAACTACAAAATACATTACTTCACACTTTAGCATGGGGCTTCTTACTTGGGATCTAAATATTTGATCTATTTTTGACATTTCATGGAATGAATTAAGTGGTATTATAAACCAGCGGTTGCTGATGTTTTATAGAGCATTATATATATGTGTGTGACCTATCCTCAGCTTTAAGCCTGAGAGCCACTACTGTCTTCAGCAGAGCTATATTAAAGCACATCAGTGCGGAATCTGAACATACGTAAAGCTGTGTATATCACTAAGTATCTAGGGTGGGCTTATGAGACACTGATTTTATACATGCAAAAAAAGATAATTTCATTTTTTTAACTCCTGTGACAATACTTTCAACCACACCAATGGATGAGAAGTGTTAATTATCTGATGAGAAAATTGCCACAGGAAACCTGGAATAAAGTATTTTATACTGTATTTCAAGCCTTTCACATGGCTTGAAATATATACATATATGTATTTCACATATATAACAGACACAGGCAAATGGTCTCAATTATTAGTTTATAGAAATAATGCTTTTTCCAGAAAACTTCCCTGTCCAAGTTCTTTCCTATCTATCCTCTCTTTCCTTTTGGCCCTTAAGATTCTATAATATCTTCTTCTGTCCTGGAACGTTTCAGGATATGGCATAATGGCTCCAAAGCTTGTAGATTCTCATGGTTGCATGAACATATATATCTGCTCTATACAGAGTTACTGCATAAGCAGAGTCTCAGCAGATGGAAGAAAAGAGATTTCTTGTTTTGTTACTTCCTGTTAGATTCTGCGTATTATCTTCCCATTCTTCCAACTGGAGGCAAGTAATGAGTGTAACTCTGATTTCCTTCAAATCCATGATGGGCCTTCAGCGTCAATGCACATGCTGGGAAAATACTGTGGCTCCTCACCTCCTGCAGAGCTTTTCAGTTCCCACAACTCCCTGTATTTTTGGTTCTACTCAAACCACACGGTTATGGCTGGAGGTTTTACTGTTCAGTGGGAATCTCGGGATCCTGGTAAGTTTGATGAAATGTCAAGTAATTTAGCATCTTCATGGCTTTGGAGCAAAATGGTTGACTTGTTTCCTTTGAATAGGAAACGTTAGGAGCAGTAGGACAGTATTTTACTAGGGAGTGAGGCTGAAGTGTAGACATAGATGTCACTTTAAAATATTTAAACTCCAACCCTAAACCTCTGCATGAATAACTTTCTGTTATTTTTTAAGGCTGTTTTATACCTCCTGTGAGGAATCCCCCAAAGAGCATGTGTTCCTGGAGATGCCGTTCTTCTGATTAGTTCTCTTTTCCCACAGAAGTATCTAGTACTTTGAGCAAGCAAGTTACCTTTTTTTGCCACTGACAATTTACAAGAGGCTAAAGAGTTTGAACCATGCTTTCCAAACATGATAGATTGTTGGGAATTTGATTTTAAATGATCTGTGAGCTTTTTGGTATGATTTGCTGTACGTTTCTGCCTGAATTCTTGGTAACACCACTTGCGTGATTCTTCCAGGAGGCCTGGCAGTGCATTTCTAGAGATAAACTCCAAATCATCTTGTGCAACATCAAGCTCACTTCAGTGTTCTGTGTATTGTCTAGAAACAAAATTGTGCATTAGGTTGTGTCTTGAAAGAACCATAGAGTAAAAAAAGTATAGAAAATTCGGGGGGGGGACAGTTTCTTTAATTCCAGAACTATTTATTGAAATGTTTTAATGTGATTTTTGGTGTTTTTTTTTTTCTTTCAATTGACATTATTAGACAGATAATTACTAATTGACAAATATGGGTACTGAAAAGTGAAAACAGATCTTTTGGGGAAAAAAAACCCCAAAAAAAGCAAAGAGGGAGAAAGGTATAGATGTGACTAAACTAGCTATTCCTTAGGTATAACACACAAGTTACCCCTACCATTCCCAGCGGTTACGCTGAGAGGGATGTTTTTTTTATTACAGGTATATAAAACAGCCTTTCCTGTAATTAACATTTTCTTAAAATGAAAAGAGTCTTGTGCTAGGATAAAACATGGAGACTATTTACAAAGTACAGATATTCAGATTAATTTTGTAAATCCAATCCAAAACACAGTGCTTTTGATCATTCTCCTAAAGATATTTCCATCATAAATGGAAAAGAATCTTTTACTGTGCAAATCAGGAAATACTTGGAGTTCTGCTTTTATAATTGAGTTGCAGAATTAATTGTAGAATTTAAAGAAAGAAGTAACTTGTTGGTTTATTTGGCTTGATCTTTGGTTTTGAATTTATTCTGGATCCCAAAGTGGTACCTAGTTTTGACACTACAGGAGAATTCGTCTTCTGACCTCACATGTGGTGTTAAAGTCTGTGTTCTTCCACATTTCTTTTCTGTTAGAATGTGGTGGTGAGCTGACGGGTACTTACGGCTTGATAAGCTCTCCAGGATACCCTGGTAACTATCCTGTAAACAGAGACTGTTTCTGGACCATCTCAACCAGTCCTGGCCTCCTCATCACATTTGCTTTTGGCACACTAAGCCTAGAACACCATGAAGACTGCAATTATGACCATTTAGAGGTAAAGTGTAATTGTGGATTATGACAACATTTTATGGCTATGTTATTGCAAAACAAGATATTTCAAAACTTTTTGTATGTACAGAAGGGGACTGTTTGAAAATTAAATCCTGGGTTGAAATGTTCATTCGTACTTACTTATTCTAGCTATCAATGCACAATCAGCGTACACAGGCAGTGTAACAGAAAGGGGGTGAGATCCTGCTCCACTGAAGTCAGTGGAAGTCTTGTGACTAAAGAGGATGAGATTCAAGCCAGATACCTGGTGGGAAGCTTTCACTTTCTTACAAAGTTCAGTCTCCGAACTCCTTGTCAAATGTCAACCCACAGAGAATTAATCAGCCTAAGGTAAACTATTAGGGAAAGGGATCTAAGATTAATAATTCATATCATAGTACAGTCCATGACTTGATGTGTGAGCTTAGGGCTTTTTCTCAAGTGCAAAGTAATGGTTGCAAAATTCACCAATATGCAGTCATGGAAATGAGAAGCTGTTTTGGAATAGCATGTTCTCCAAAATTGTGCAATGCAGAGCATGATTTCAGGAAAACAGTTCAACAGTAGATCTCCTGATACTTTTTTTCCCTTTCACAAAACCCTTGATGACTCTCCTAGGAGCACCATCACAGCTATGCTAGTGGGTCTGTTTCTTGGTTCCTGTGTGTTTGGAGGAAACTTCCTATAAGCTTTCCCTCCACTCACCATCTGCAATATTTCCTGGGGTCCCCGAGAATAACTTGAAGAGTGTTGGTACTGTTCACAGTTGGCACACATCTAATAATCCTAAACGCTGATCTATCATTCTGTCTAGATTCGAGATGGTCTTCTTCCACAAGACCCTGTCCTTGGCAAATACTGTAGCACTGGATCTCCACCCCCACTCCAAACCACTGGTCCGTATGCATGGATTCACTTTCACTCTGATGACTTAGTTACTGATAAAGGCTTCCACATTCTCTATACAACATCTCCTGGTAAGTAAAATTCAGTACTAAAGGTTGGTCTGTGACATTCCCAAGATATAGCCAACAACATATGAATGGATGTAATTAACACTTGCTATTTAATAATACAGAAATCCTCTTTGATTTGCAGCCATTGTACAGAGGCAGCCTAAACTGAGAGAGTTACCATACTTGTGAGTATCTCAATTGATATTTTTTTTTTCTTAATACAGCAGATCCAAGTTGTGGAGGAAATTACACGGATAGTGAAGGGGTTATCACATCCCCTTTCTGGCCTAACCCTTATATCAACAATCGACAATGTATTTACATTATCAGACAGCCAGAGGATGAAAAAATATACCTCAACTTCACCCATATGGAGCTGGAGAGTCACACTGGTTGTTCATCGAATTATATTGAGGTGACTTCTCTTAATCAGTTGATATGAAAGGTTGATTACATGAGTGTACAAAACCATGCTGCATAATCTCTGTCCCAAGGGCCACTGCAGAAATAGGTGTTAATCAAAGGACTAAGTATACCAATTTATTAGGGTCCAAAAGTCACAGGCGCTAGAAGAGCAGGACTGTACATTTGGAATGAAGCAAAGATAAGAAAACAAGAAAATCTGTCTAGCTTGACACTAATTCTTAATCGGCTGTACATGATTAGGGTGGAGTTTGGACCTTTGGTAAATGCATGCCAAATGCAGGAAAAATAGAAATAATGCCATAGCCACTAGGCAGCATTTTCTGGCATCATGGTATTATCTGGAAAATCTTGTTCTGGCACAAAAAGGAAGAACACCATATATATATTTATATATCCATATGTATGTACAGGTATATATATGTAAAGCCAGGAGTTTATTGTGAGCATAACTGAAATCTTACAAGTCTAATTCAAGAATTGTTATTAGTCTAAATCTAATTATTATAGAAAAATAATAGTACAGTTAGAACGTTTCTATATGGAAAATATAATAATAATACAATAGTAATGTTGATACTAACTGGGATCCACTTGAGGCGATTTTTATGTTTGGTTTTACACCTAGCTCTCTCTTCATTGGTCTGCATCTTCATGTTACATCTGAATTTACTACTACCGTGTGCCTTTTAAGTATACTAAGTACCACTTTTTCATTTTGTTTGTTATCCCTAACCCCAGTTTTGTCCAGCTCCAGGTCTGCATTTCTCTAACTGACCGCGGGTGAGGTTTGGCACGGTGGTGCACGGGGGTGCCGGGGGCCGTGGGGGCTCCCCAGAGGGACAGGGGCAAGGCCTCACAGTCAGGGCCCGTCCCACTGCCCCGGCCAGGGAGCAGGGCAGCCCCAGGCATCGGACACCTCCCTGGGGACAGGGATGGGCCAAGGTCAGGCTGGGACGTGGACCTGCGGGTGGGCCCAGCTCAGCAGAACCCATGGCCAGGCAGGGCAGGGCTGTGGGGAGCTGGAGACCAGCCCTGCTGCAGTGTCGCTGGGGCAGGGACTCACAGCCCTGGGGGCCTGACATGGGGTCCTGGGCCATGGGTGGGGTGCGGGAGCGCTGGGCCAGTGAGTCCTGGTGGTGCCCTCAGGGCCTGACAAGCTCTTTATGTCAGTTAGGCCTGTGCCCCTTCTCCTGTCACCCCATCCCTGTTCTCCTCTGCACCGCGCCCTGACTTGCCACGTCTCAAGGCGCCTGCTGTTGTATCCGGCCTGTATTTCTTCATACAGTCATAAATACCTCATCCTACATGGAATGACTGCTGGGTACTGCTGTCTGTATAAAACTGTGGCTGTACGGCACAGAGGTAAACAGAAGTAAAACAAACTGGGCACAGACACCCGGTTGATTAGTGACGGTGCCGCCACAGCTGAAGCAGGTAGGAGCAAGCCCTGCGGCCCCAGCGCAGAGCTGGGTCCTGCACTGCCAGCTGCGCGGTTACGTGGCAGTGGGGTTTGGTTTTGTGCTTAATCTCTTCTTGACCAAGCGAGGAATTGGCCCCTGTGAGCTCCGTGTAGTTAATCTGTTTTTAAAAGATGTTATTGTGCTGACATCGTTCCCTTCTCTCCTCCTCTAATTCACGGACTTTGTTTGGAATGAAGTATAATTAATTTCTGAAATGAGAGGGGAAGTGTGTTTAATGAAAACAGACAGCTTTTGTTTGTTTGGCCTGGTACTCCTCTTGCCTAATTGCTGGCAGAACAGCAGCTAAATTCACAGCAGCCAGAGAAACAAAACCATTTCTGTTGAACGCAGTCAGTTTGTATTAGTTCAGCAAGGCATTTACCTCGCTGTTTGCTGATCAGTGACAAGCTGTTCAGTTTCCCTGTGTTTCTGTCCTCCTCTTCCTGCCCTCTCGCTTGGTAGCTTAGCCCAGAGCAGAGAAACAGGACTGACATTTTCTGACTGGGACAGTCAATATGACTAAAGCACTGTGCCCTTTTCTCAAGGCCTGATTTTCCACATAGGCTTTTCTAAAATACTGTCTCACTGGGTTTTATAATGAAGTTCAGCTAGGGAGATAGCTTTTGGGTGTTTAAGTTACTTTAAAAGTCACTCTCCGACAACTGTTTTGTCACTTTGAAAAAGTGCAGATTATTCCATCCCTGGTGATACCAGGAAACCTGCAGAGTTTCCACAGGGACCAGACACAGCTCACAGGCACTTGCTCAGGGAGGGATATTTAGTCTCTTACTAAGGAAGGTACAGCCTGGGACCAGGGATCTGCAATAAGAAACTAGAGACAATAAAACTTATTTAAGAAAGACTGTGACATGGTGCTGCAGAGGTAAGATGTTAGCCAAGACAGCTCCTTTTCCATGCCATCCTAACTGGCAATAGGAGACATTACTCACATGGTTTAGAGAACCTGTTATTTTTATCACTACTCACTGGGCTTTATAAACCAAAAATGTAAGGAGAATCAGCTCAAGAAAAAATGTAAACTCCTGTGAACTATAGTTCTGGAAACTTTCACTGCTGTCCAAAGATTTTCTAAATATTCTGGCACAAATTCTGATCTCAGTTGCTCCGCTGTAAATCCAGAATAATTCTGTCACCTTAAGCTGAAGTTACAGGGAAATTAAAAATATCTGTTAATCAGAAAGCCATCTCACCAACTTGAGATTGCCAAAGCTGGGCAAGCAGGCCAGCCACTGCCTGCTCACCAGGGCACCGATGAGGGTTCCCTGCCTTCTCTCCTAGCCCATGGAGGAATACAGCTGAGGAGGAAAGAAGAGGTGATGAGAGGGGACCTGAAAGCTGGATGTCCCTGGCTTTGCCAATGATTTCATTGGAATCAGTTTTTGGGGTCGACAGCATATGGGTGCATTTAAAAGCAGCTCTAGCTACATGAGCTACCACCACTTTTACAGCAGAAAAGAGCTGTTTTGTTTTCAGGAGAATCTTTGGGAGAAAAATTGCATTTTTTGCCTGGGCAAATAGCAGTGGACCTGTTTTTTGGACCTCAGCACGTTGGCTGCCCTCTTGGAATGAGATAGGCACTTCATAGAATCATAGAATCATTAAG